GGGATCATGACCTGAGCCGAAGGTAGACGCTTAACAACTGAGCCACCCAGGTGCCCCTTGGTGTTTGTCTTTTACTCCTCTTCCACTCCTGATGGTTGAGCCAGCCTGTGGCTTCTCTCCCTTCCAGAGGCTGGGCCCTGGAGGTTTTGGGCTTTAAGAGCCAACTCACATGCTGCCTTGTTTTTGGTCATTGTCTTTGAATGTTTTCTCCTTTTGTCTGCTCTCCAAATGCATGTAATTTGGACTTTCATTCTGCCTCGCCTTTCCATTAATTTGTGAGTATTCTAGTCGCTTCAAGACTGCACCCTTGAACTTGTACCCCCCACCCCCTGGGGTCTTGTGTGTAGTTGGTATGCAGTCTTGAGCAATGCTGTTGCCCGCATGTATAGAGAGAGAGAGCAAGGTACGGGCCTTCACGGGTCACTTCAGTGGTGTTCTGGTCCCGAGGATGGACGGTTGGGGGGCATTCTCCCGCCTGGCCACCTGGCCATGAGCCCGAACCCCCGGACCGAGGTTGGCCGTTCAGGAGCTGCCCGACCTGGGTGGGCTTATTCTCTTTCCTGCTACTAGGGCCATTGGTTGGTTTATTGTCATTGCTTCTAGCGGAGCTCACCTGAGGACTCCCCGCAAGCCCACGTCGACCTGGGGGCCCTCAGGACGTGGACCCCCTATGGAGCAGCCCACAGCTGCAGCCCAGCATATGTGCCTGTGGTGGGAGGCCTCTTTCGCAAGACCCCAGGGCGCACGCTGCACGCACCAGCGCCCCCCTTGATTGGGGGAGGGACACCCGCTTCAAAGTACCTGCTGGTTTGGTGGCCTGTGCCCAAGCTACAACTCAGTTCAGTGTTGGAGCAGCTGGGACAGCGTTTGCCCACAAATAGAAGGCTTGCTCCCTGTTCTCAAATAGCTCAAGTGTAGCTGGAGGAGAAAGCTCGTGCCGGCCAGCAGTGCGGCGAGTGAGTCGGGCCAGGCGCCAGCGCTCGGGCAGCCTGCTGTCGCCTCCCGGGCGCTCCAGTGCCTGCTGGCTCTGGCAGACAGGATCTTGAGCTGAGACTTGGAGGTGTAGGCTGGTCAAAAATCTCGTAGGTGGAGAGGAAGAAGGGGGTGAAGGGAAAGCAAGACTTGCACATTCAGATGCCTACGGGGACCCAGCAGGGGATGGGGATAATACCAGTCAACTTAGTGGGTGCTTTACACACGCATCCACCGACTCCATCCTCCGTAACCTGGCCAGGTAGGTGCTGCTTTCACCCCCATTCCCCAGCTGGGAAAATGGAAGCTCAGTCCTGGTTGGGATGTCGCAGCTGTGAGTAGCCCACCTGTAGTCTGTTCCCGGAATCGTTAGTCTGTGCCGCGGTGTGTGGCCTTGGGCATGTGGGTGAGGGTGGGGCGCGGCTGTCACCCAGCTCTGTAGCTGCTTGTCACTACATGGTGGGATGGTGCCTTAGTGATCCGGGAGAGCAAGGCGGGGGCTGCGCTGTTGGGAGCTGGCCACAGAAGTCACCCTTGGTCATTTCCATACTATCCTGTTGGTGACACCGACGAGTCCTGCTCAGTGTGGGGAGGGGACAGCACGGGGAGGTAACGGTGGAGGTGAGAAACAGGAGCTGGCCACAGCTGTTCTCTTGTCTCAGGAGAAGGCAGCGACACTGAATTTCATTTGAAACCTGACTTTAGTACGTTGACAGCTAGTTCCGGTTCTTCACGAGCAGCGTGCAGACTGAACCACACAGGCCTGTGGCGGGTCATCCGGACTTTGGGGTGCTGCCTGTGAGTGGGGGCCAGGAGTGTGTGAGCAGGAGCCGGAAGGGCGTGTCTGAAGAGGGGTCCCCGATGACTTGGCTGGGTCGTTGGTGGTGAAGTCTCTGCACCGAGTCCTTCCGTTTCTCTGCTGTCCTCTATGATCCTTGTAATGTTGGGTTGCTGTCGAGACCGCTCGGTCCCCAGATTGGCAGGCGGGTGGCATCTTCCTCCCTCGCGGATGCTGCTGGTGACTCACTCTTGATGGGCTTTTGCAGTCTTCAGTGGAGGTGCGGGTGTGGAGCCTCTGGTCCATCTCTCGTGTGAGCCTGAGGGAGTTTTCGGTGCCGGAACTCTTTGCCCTTTGTGAGGATCAAGGTGACGAAAAACAAACAAAAGCCTGGGAGAGAATGGAGCGTGGGCCTGTTTGCCTAGTGCCGGCAGGGCGGAGGCTCCCTCTCCCGCCCCGCTTCTGGACCCGGAGTCCTGCTCATTAACACTTCCGCATACTTGCACAGCCTGTCTCCAGGCCCTCGCCCACCCCGTCCTGTCTGCTGGCCCGCTGTGGGTCGTGTTTCTGCAAGGTGACCAGCAGGGTTCTAGTGGCTGACACGCCAGGTACTTTCTCTCTGCCAAGCACTGTTCTTGGTGCTTCATGTGTTTTGACTCTTCCAGTCCTGACAGTGACCCTGTGACAAGTACCATTCTCTTCTTTCATTGAGGAGAAACTGAGGTCCAGAGATGACTGATTACTCATCTGAGCTCACATGGAAAGTGGCAGGATCTGAACCTGGATTGTCACGCTCCGGAGCCTGTGTCTTTAAGCAACACACTCTCCTGCTCCTCGGGGTCACTGTTGTTACCCCATCTTGCAGATGACAATGCCCAGGCTCAGAGGTTGGAGCAGCTTGCCCACCATCATTGTGTAGTAAGTGGCGGAGCCGAGATTCTAATGTAGGGCGTCCAGCCCAGCCCTGGGGCGCAGTGTTACCTCTCCACGGTCATGGGCACATCCATGCCCTCCTCCAGTCAATTTCCAGGTGACACAGAGGGAAACTGAGTCCCCGAGGGGCAGACTGGCCTACCTGAGGTCCCCAAGCATGGTCTCTAGAGTCAGGGTTGGCCCCAGCCTTCCAGATGCCCGGTCCCTGGTGTTTTTCCCTGCATGCTTGGTTGACCTGCTCTATGGCCCCTGGCTTGAGTAGGTGGGTGGGGCTGGAGGGCGGTTCTCCTGGGGCTTGGAGGAGGTGGCCTGAAGCCCCCGTTCCCTGATCACTGTGCAACCTCTGTCCTGCCTCTCCCCATTTCATCCTGGTGATCCTTCTCCATCCCTGCTGCAGACCCACTCACTCCGGCTCTCTTCAGCTGGGCTGTCCTGACCCTGCCCTTCCTGCCAGGGCCAGCCCCCTCCTCCTGCAGCATGCTCCTGCTCTCAGAGATCTCTCCCTTCCTCTGTGTACTCCCTCCCTGCCCCCCAGGACTGGGAACAGGGAGGACCATTAAGTCTTTAGCTGACTGATGGCAGTGAGAGAATTCAGCCCAGCATCATGTTAGGCCATTTTTTTCTGTTCCTGACACCCTGCTGGTCATCTTCCTGTTGTTACCACATCCTTGGAGCACCAGCATATGAATGGAGAGCCTACCGAAAGTATGTGGCGATTAAAAAGGCCCAGTGAGGGGCAGGGACGTTCCCCAGGTCTCAGGATTGGAATCAGGTGGGAAGAAGAGCGAGTTTCCATTTGTGTAAAAGCCCCATTTGTGTAAAAGCCGGAGAGAGGGATGTATTTACTCATGCATAAAATCTGGAAGGACACACAAATCTCTTTAATTGGTTACTTCTAGGTAAAAAAAGTTAGATGATTGTGGGGCAAGATGGAAGGGACTATTCCTGAATGACCTTCTACACTTCTGTTATCTTGAATCATATTGCTTATTCAAAAATCAAAATAAATATCTGTTCCTCCCTCCCCCAAACATTGTTACTGGCACAAGAAGTCATCAATAAGCTCCTAGTTTTGCATTTCTGTGTTTTCAAATCTATTGGATATGGCTTTCCTGTTTGTATGGTATAATAATAGCAAGCTTAATGGAGTTCTGATTTGGTCCAAGGCCCTGTTCTAGCATCTGTCTCATGCATGTGCTTATGCTCATTTAAATCCTCCCAATAGCCCTGCCAAGAGGGGATGCTACTAACCATCTCCACTTCACAGACGGGGAAGCCGAGACAGTCTGCTCAAGTAACCTCCACAAGGTCGCACAGCTAGTAACTGGCCAGGCCAGGATTTGCAGCCAGGCCTTCTGGCTCCAGAGTCCATGTTCTTAGGCATGCTGGTTAGGATATGGAACCACTGCCCAGCAGTGGTGGGTTTGCTCTGGGGGGTAAGAATTGGGATACCCCACCTGCCCCAGACCATTTCTTATCAGACACCTTCAAACCGCTCAGACATAACTGTAATTCCTTACGTGTGTCCATCTTCTTATTGGACTGCCGAGACTTTCTTTCTAAGATTGGTTTGAGCCATGTGCCATTTTATTTTGTTTTTAGAAAATTATGATGACTTATACCACTGGTCAGTTGAATCATATCCAGACTTCTGGGCGGAGTTCTGGAAATTCAGTGGAATTGTCTTCTCACGCATGTATGATGAGGTAAGTAGGGATTTTACTTGTGCTTTACCTTTTTATGGTTATGTTCCAAAATAAAGTGTTCGTTTTTGGGAATACTGAATCATATTTTCTTTTGATGCCTCGCATCAGTGGGAAAGAGTCATTGTTCTCGAGAGTTGGCAGAAAATTGTGTTGAGGTCACAGACTCCATGGAGACCAGGCAACCTCTGGACTCTGTGATGTGTATATCTCGGGCCCTGTCCTGGGAACTTGGGCGATCCTACATGCAGGGCATAGTTGTTTTATTTTTATTTTATCTTAAAAAAAATTTTAATTGTGGTAAAAGACACATAACACAATTTACCATCTTTTTTTTGTTTTTTCACAATTTACCATCTTAACCGTTTTAAAGTGTCCAGTTCTATGGTGTTATTAAATACATTCACATTATTGTTGTTTTTTAAACTGTCAGTAGTTTTATTATTTTTTAAACCTGGAGTTCAGGGAATGTTCCGACTCCTCATGCTGTCAGTCAATCTGGGGAAAGTGGGTCCTGTTACTCAAAGTATAACTTAATTGTGTTTTTGTGTGACTGTGGGGTGAACTGTTCTGAGAGGCTCACCTGTGTATATGCACTTGGGGAAGGATATCAAGGTTCCAGCCCGTGGAGGAAGGAGGCTAGGGGCCCGGCTCCGGCCCTGGGGGGTCGTGGTGGGAGGGGCGGGTGGGTCCTGGAGCTCCGTCTCCCAGATTTCAGCGTGTGTGGTCAGAGCCTGCGGCATTGGGCAGGGGCCACACCTGTCTTACTTACTTTCTGGAACCTGCACCTCTCATAGAGTAGGTGCTTCGTGCAGGTTTGCTGAAAGAGTTCATTTGTGGGGATGCTGTTTTCCTTTGGCATTCATTTCCTTTTTCTTTTTTTTTTTTAAACCTCATAGGGGAATAATTAGCCATGAAACCGTAAAAATCTAAAGTGCCCAACGTGATGATCTGATATACAGACACACTGTGGGATTAACACACCCATTGCCTCACTTTCCCTGTGGTGAGAACGCTGAAGATCTCCTCCCAGCAACTTGCACATGTGAGATCCTGTCTGATGAACTATAGCACACTGATCTCTTTTCAAGAGATCTCTTTCCAAGCCCGGAGGTCCATCCAGTGCTCAGTCTATGAAACGATCTAATGAGGCTTTGGGCCAGTGAGTTAGCGGGCTTCCCGGGAAGCAGAGTCACTTGTATTTATTCCTGGTGTAGATCTCATCTGGGTGCGTGTCTTGGTTTGCTGTCGTTCTCCGTAGGTTGTGGACACATCGAAAGGAATCGCAGATGTCCCCGAGTGGTTCAAAGGCAGTCGTCTAAACTACGCGGAAAACCTCCTGCGGCACAAAGAAAATGACCGAGTTGCCCTGTATGCTGCAAGTGAGTTCTCATGGCCCCGGGAGATTTCCCTCTCTCCGCGTCCTGCGCCAGGCTCACGAAGGGCCACGTGGCTGGAGAGGCTCCAAACATCCAGATTGCCGTGTGTGTTTTCAAACACTGTTCTGGCACTTTTTTTATTGTGGTAAAAAGTGCGTAACATTAAATGTACCGTCTGGACCATTTTTAAGCGTACAGTTCGGTAGCGTTAGGTGCCTTTCCATTGCTGTGCATTAGCTCTGCAGAACGGTTCCATCCTCCTCCTGTTTCGGCATGGTGTCCTCAGAGTCCATCCACGTAGTCGTGTGTGATAGGATTTCCTACCTTTTTGAGGCTGCATGATATTCCCTTGTTCGGATACCCCACATCTTGTGTGTCTTTTCATCTGTCACGGGGCACCTGGGTCACGTTCACCTCCTGGCTGTTGTGAATAGGCTATGACAAACATGGGTGTGCACATAGCTCCTTGAGGTCCAGCTTTGGATCCTTTTGGATAGATACCCAGAGGTGGATCGTATGGCGAATCTATGTTTAATTTCCCGAGGAACCTCCTCCACACTGTTTTCTGTAACAGCTGCCCTTGGCACCTTTCCGACATCATTAAGACCTCTGTTGACTTTTTCTTATTGCTGGGAAAGGGAGGGGACATTCATGTGATCATGTTTTATGGGAGAAATTGAAACACCAAATATGAAGTAACCAGCTCAGAGTCACCTGGACAGTCAGTGAGGGAACTGCAGCTAGAATCTCTGCCCGTTGACTTCTCCTTTAAAAAAAAAGTTCAAAGAATTTTCTAATTTATGTATTAAGCAGGCTCCGGAAGAGTTGGCATAAAATATTTGAAATAAACGAGGAGTTTTCTTAGTAAGGAGACACTGTGGTTGGCCTCCTAATTAATTAGGTTTTTGGTAAGCCTGAAGTTTTGTAAAAAAGTAACATTGGATTTATATTGTATTGGTTAAGGTTTGAGGTGTTTCACGGTGGATTTTCCAGGTGACTATGTTTTTCTCCTTTGAGTAATAAAGCTTTACTTACTCATTTTAGACACAGCATGTGCTACTATGTTGTGAGGAAATAGGGCATCCGCAGGGGAGACTGAACTTCACTGGACCTTTGGTGTTCATGACTCACGGCTTCCAGTTTTGGGATGGTGACAGAATCTAATGCTGTCGAGCTGTCCACGTGTGTGGGATGGTCTGCTCCCTCTTTTGCAAAGGGAACCCAGGTAGCTGTGCCCCCTGCCGTCACCTGCCCAATTCTTGTCTCTTGCCACCTGCTCTAGTCCTTGCAACCCTCGTCTATGTGACAAGTTACTATTTGTTGTCAGAAGTGGTATTACAAGTCAGATAATTATGCTTGTCCAGGTAGTGCCTGAAATAGGGGTAGATGAGGTCTGGTAGCTGTGTGACCTTGCGTGAGCCCCTTAACCTCTCTGGGTCTGTTTCTACCTCTGTCTAATGGAGAGGAGGAGAGTACCTATTCAGGAATATTGTAGAGCTTAAATGAGCGAATATGTATACACGTGTATACAACAGTTTCCGCCACAGGGGAAACGTGCATAGCTCTCAGTTGAGATTATACCTCTGAAATCCCTGTGTGGCTTTTAAATCCTGGCTGTCCAGTTCCTATCGTGGCTTCCTAGAGTGCATCTTCCAGGGATGGGGCCCAGGCTCACGTATATTTTTAAAACCCATGGTTGCTTCTGATGCACATTGTTGGTTAAGAACCACAGAGTCTTGTCTTTATGTAGTGTTTGGGCTGTTCGGTATTATTCTGCTCCCTTCCTTGGTTCTTAGCCCGGATGCAGTTTGGGCTGAGCACGTAAGTAAGTAGTCTTGGGGATGGGGACACTACACGAGTCCTGTGTGTCTCTCCCTTGCTCTTTAAGGAGGTATTTGCGTATCCATCCGTCCATTCATTCACTCATTCTCAGATCTGTCTCAAATGTCTCCTCAGTGCAAAGTGTTGGGAACATGGTGTTGAACAGGACGGCTGACATTGTAGTGGGACGAACGATAAATAAGAAAAAACATACAGATGGTCCCCAACTTAGGACTGTTTGACTTTACGATTTTTTTTTTTTTAAGATTTTATTTATTCATTTGAGACAGAGACACAGACAGACAGAGCATGAGCAGGGAGAGAGGCAGAGGGAGAGGGAGAAGCAGGCTCCTTGCTCAGCCAGGAGCCCGATGTGGGGCTCGATCCCAGGACCCTGGGATCATGACCTGAGCCAAAGACAGACGCTTAACCATCTGAGCCACCCAGGAGCCCCTGCCTTTATGATGGTTTAACGCATTCAGTAGAAACCATACTTGGAATTTTGAATCTGGATCTTGTCGCGGGCTCACGATCCACAGTCCCATCCTGTCCTGTGATGCTGGGCAGCGGCCGCCGCTCCCCGTCAGCCATGCGATCACGAGGGTCACAGACGCCACGTGCATCGTCTGTCACTGTCAGTGCTGTAGTCAGTGAATTAAATGAGACAGTCGACACTTCCTTATAAAACAGGCTTTGTGGTAGGTGATTTTGCCCAGCGGGAGGCTCACGTCGGTGCTCTGAGCACGTTGAAGGTGGGCCGGGCTGAGCTGTGGTGGCTGCTAGGAGAGGTGTGTGAAATGCAGGCACACTTTGAGCTGGAGCCAGTGGGCTAAGCCTTAGCTTTGTAAAATGAATGGAGGAGCACATTTGCCTGGGGTTCCTTACGCCCTTGAAGTCTAATAGGAGTTGGCTTACAGGGTTTCAGTAGTGAGCTGGTGTGTGACGTGGGCATGCCCGCTACGTGACCCTGGTCACAGCAGCTCCCGGCAGGGAACCGGCTGGAGGTGCTCGGCGGCCGCCGCCTCCGGGAGGCATAGAGCGGCGGGAGCTGGGAGAGTGGGCCTCCTTCAAGTGGGATTTCAGCCACGAGAGTCATCCACGCCCTTACACGGTGCATGTCAGTGGTTCTTCGCGTCTTCACAGGGTTGTCAACCACCACCTCTGTCTAGTTCCTGCTGTCTCTGCCACCTCAAAGGGAAACCCCTCTGCAGACCCGGCACCCATCGGTGTCTGTCGTCTCCTTGGGTTTGCCCGTGCTGGATGTTTCCTAGAGATGGAATCCCGTGGGGCGCTTGGTGTCTGGCCTCTTGCTTGGCCTCGTGCTTTCAAGGCCCCTCCACGCTGTGGCAACTGTCAGTGCTTCCTTCCTTTTATGTCCCAGTCACGTTCCGGTGTGTGGATCCAGCACGTTCTCTCTGCCCGCGAGAGGCCCTTCAAGGGCTGTCCCGCCCCAGGCACTGGGGTCCCTTGGTGAGCACCGCTCCGAGCCTTTATGACCTGAGGGGCGGGAATGCTGGATCTGTCTTTGATCGTTTTTCCTGCTCCCGTCAGATGTCTCTGCACTTTTACCTCAGGCACCGCACCAGGTCCCAGTTTCTTCCTCGGGAAAGTGGGAAAGGTCAGATGTGAATCTTCTGACAAGTAAAACGAACAAACCCGAGAATCGGTAATGCTAGTGGGAAAACAGACCAGTCTTGTGGGTGGCCGTGCGCTCATGCTCTCGCTCTCCCCCTCACATGTATATTGGCTGCACCCAGACCCTCTTTTCCTAAGTCCAGCTATGTCCTGAGCATGGGTTAGGGAGGGAAGGTGGTCATTTTGGGTGTGTGGTGGCTGTTTCACACTTGTCCCTGCGCGCCCTCCCTGCCCAGCCCCGCCGTTCCTTCCCTTTAAGTAGGAGAACCCCTTCTTTTAATGAGCTCCCCTTGTATTTGCAGTGGAAATAAGTGCCCTCAAGCCAGGGATCAAATTTAGTTTACAAATAAGGTACCTTCTTCTTCTTTTTTAAATTTAATTTATTTATTTGATAGAGCGGGACCGAGAGAGAGTGCACAAGCAGGGGGAGCGGCAGGTGGAGGGAGAACCGGGGACCCGACGTGGGGCTCGATCCCAGGACCCTGGGATCATGACTTGAGCCGAAGGCAGACAATTAACCGACTGAGCCACCCAGGTGCCCCACAAATAGGGTACCTTCTTAGCAGGGTCCTAGATCGGCTGGTTATTGGCTTGGGGACTTGAAGGTCACTCACTGTGTTTTGCTTTCTGTGTGTTTTCCTGATTCGTTCCCACTCTCCTAGCTGAGTGCAGGTGCTCGTGGAGTTCTGCTCTGTGCTCGCTCAGGCATTCTCGGCAGACCCCATCCCTCCTCCATATGATCCCCGGTGAGGCCACGAGGTGCTGCCAAAGGAAAGCGTTCACTGGTGCCTTCATGCTCCAGCGAGCAGAGCGGAAGCAGTATGCGTTAGCCCATCAGTGTGGGAGTTCCAAGAACAGCTGCCTGCATAGCACATTCTGTCTTTGACCAGTGGTTTCAGGTTGCTGGGTATTTTTACAGGATAGGAAATCACGTGGGGAGTGGAAATATGGGAGACGTAATTACGAGGCTACTCAGTAAGGAGAGAAAAGAACCAGGGGTAGGCATACATAACTTTAAGGAAATGGGAAAAACCAGATTTACACCAAAGAGAAATCAGGATGTTTGGAGAAGTGATGCTTCATGTTACAGAATCGAACAGCAGTTAGTAGTCAGGAATAAAATATTTGCATCAAAGACAACAGTCAGAGGAGTAATGTCTTTCCAGTAGAAAGTACGTTCAATAATTTTCCCACACCCATGCAACATTGAGTCTTGGTCGTATTCATTTTCTTTCTTTCTTTTTTTTTTTTTTTTAAGATTTTATTTATTTTAGAGAGAGAGTATGCAAGCAGGGGGAGGGGGAAAGGGAGAGGGAGAGGCTTAAAATAGTAAACTCTTAGCGTCTCACAGTTTCTGCGGGTTGCATGTTCAGAAATGGCTTAGCTGGGCGGTTCTGGCTTGGGAGCCCCTCATGAAGTTTCAATGAGGATGTTGGCAGGGGCTGCATCATTTGAAGGATTGACCGAGGTGGGCAGTTCCACATCCAAAATGGTACACTCCCATGGAATCCTCAGTTTCTCACCACGTGGCAGCTAGATCCCCCGGAGTGAGCTAGGTGGAAGCTGCCGTGTCTTCTATGACCAAGCATCAGAAGTCACCTGTCTCCAGTGTCATGTTGGTTACCTGGCTTGGGCCCCATCAATGTGTGCAGACCCACCTGAGAACATGAGCACCAAAGACGGGGTTCACTGGGGTCGTTGTGGAGGCCAGCTGGCACACCGTCCTGTTCCGTTATTGCCGTCTGGTAGGTGGAAATTCGTGTCTCGCTCTTGTCACGTATGTTTCTTTCGATAGCGGGGCTGATCGTTCTAATGTCTTGGGCTGATTTCCACATACACGCCCTTCCCTAGGAAGTTGAGTAAACCCAGGTCTGGGTGATGTTTCTGGGCATCTGTTTCCAACCTGCGTTTAAACCGTGTGAGTTTTCCTCCTTGTCTGTGACTGAGAACCTTTCTTTTAGGGTTGTCTCTACCGCCGGTCCCTTTTCTCTTCCCAGGGGAAGGCAAAGAGGAAATTGTGAAGGTGACGTTTGAAGAGTTGCGGCAGCAAGTAGCTTTGTTTGCAGCAGCGATGAGGAAAATGGGCGTGAAACAAGGAGACCGGGTGGTCGGTAAGTGTTTTTGGTTCTTGTTGTGGCTTGCGGGGAGGAGACTGAGGCAGAGTGACCGGCTTGGAAGGTTGAGGCCACTTTTGGACAAGATGGCAGATTACATGCAACCTCGAAGGACTTCAGCGATCCGCGCTCGGTGGAGGCTAGATGCACAAGGAAGGTCATGGCGCAGGGAGAGGGCAGGGGAGTCCGGGCAGTAGGGACAGCCTGTCAAAGGCCCCGAGGCTCATGGGCGCAGGGCACCCGCAGGGGTGACAGGAGCGTGGTGGGCTGGGTGTGCCTTGCAGGCGGTGGGGTTGGCAGGGTTGACTGTCCTTCCGGAAGGAACCAGGGTTGGAATCCTCAGACCTGAAAGGGAGGCCTGGCTCCTTCTCCCTCCCCGAGTCCCCGCCTTCCTTTGTTCTCTCCTAATCGGGTGGTGAGTCATGATTTCCCACCTAGAGCAATTCAGGTTCTTTTTTACAGTTTTCTTCTCACTTTGACTTTTGGAGAAGGTTTAAAGGCCTGTATGTGGACCTGGTCTCCACCACAAGGCACTGTAGTGAATTGAGTTGTGGGTGGGTGTGTCCCCAGGGGCAAGCAGCGGGAGATAGGAAGACTTAACGTCCCTGCCCCTGCAGGCCGGGCGGTGTGCAGGCCGGTGGTGGTCGGGGTGCTAGCCCGCCTCCCCCGCCCCCATGGTGGTGGGACCAGGGCCACGGCGCAGGGGTGGCAGTGTGAGAAGCCGCTGCTGGGCCTCTCCCCGGGGAGCTCACAGCAAGTGGGCCTTCAGCGTGTGTTTGCAAGGAGGGTGGCCTTATCATGTGTAAACCCAGGGAAGGGCTGTACCCGTGTCTTGCTGATGGCAGCTGGGCCCCGAGTCCCTGCTCGCATGTTAGTTGACTAGCACCAGGTAGTAGGCATGCACCAAGTTGCCTCCTGTCTTAGCCCTCGATGGGGCCTTCCTGTGGTTGCTCGCTGCAGGGAGGTTCCAGAGAGCCCACGGAAAACCCACCACCACTCTCTCCCCGCGTCCTGCTTTTGTTCTTTTCTTGTCCTTAGAGACCGCCTGAAATCTTGGGATTATTTGTGTGCATGCATGCGTCTGTCTGTCTGTCCTCCCATACTAGAGGACCAGGCTTGGTCTTCTGTTCACTGCCGTGTCTCCGTCCCCAGGGAGGCGGGCGCACAGTGGGTGTATGATGAACACGGAGTGAGCGGATGTGGGTGCGGGGCCTGTGGTCACAGCAGGCATTGCCTGGTCGAAGCCTCAATATCTGGGGTTCTTCTTCCAATTTAATCTACCCTTTCGAGGTCTAGAAAAGGATTTCAGAAGGTCCTTTTCCCAATTTTCACTTAAAAAAAAAATCTCTCTTTGAAGCAAACGTTTTCTGAGAGAAGAGGAAATGGAGAACCGGGTGTGTCGGGGAACATGGTCGAGAGGCCTCCGGGGACACCCGACTCTGCAGTCAGGCTGGTACCCGGTGACCCGCCCCCTCGTGAGTGTCGCAGCGTGGACACTAACTTGACCTGTCCATAGTTCCAGGCCCCGGGGGCTGTGTTTCCCTAAGAGGGCGTGAGGGAGTGACTCCCTGGGAGAGGCTTGAGGGGCTCCTGAGACTGAGTTGGGGCTGCTCGTGAGGGGTTCTCTTGTCTGTGATGTGCTCATCTCTTGGCCCTCTGTCAGTCTCCACCAAGTCTGGGTGTGCAGCCTCCCGGGAGTGGGCCCTGTCCTGCCCTGGGGACATCACAGTTTACACAGCAAGCTCAGCAGGCCCCCGTGGGCCTGCCTGTGGCAGATGCTGGGCGCAGCCCTGCCCTCGGGGATGCTCCTGGCCCAGCAGGGAGATACAGCGAAGCCAAGGGAACGGGAGTCCTGACTGCTGTGGTCACGTAGGCCCCTGAGAACAGAGGGGAGGGAAGCAAGGGGGGAGCCGTGCTCAGGGCCCTGGGTGCCGTGACTGCGGGGCTTCTGTGGTCACTGAGGGGTCGTGATGGGGGGGCACTGGGCCATGGCCCCCCCGCTCCCTGATGACTTGTGCCTCCTCCTTTCCTCTGGAACATTTAGGATGATCTGTTTAATGGACCACAGTCTCTCTGGCCACAAAGATTCTCTGCCTCTGTTGTCATAAAAGCCCAGCCTCCTGCCAGATGGAGGGTCTACGCTTCTTCTCCTCCCCTTACAGTCTCGTGACTGTCCTGCTTTCCCCTATTGCCTCTCCTTCCTTCACCATCTATCCACCTGTCTGTCCGTCTTTCCTTCTATCCATCCATCCATCCAGCTGCCAGCCAGCCAGCTCTCTAATATGAAGGCCTTGATATGCAGGGCATGGTAAAAGGCACTTGGTAAAGCAAAGAACAAGACAGGCAAAGTCCCTGCCCTCATGTGAGAACCAGATATAAAATTGCCAGTTATGACTATTAGATGTAGATGATTATTAAGGTTAATTTGGTGAGGGAGAAATAGAGTGTGCTTTGTGGGGACCAGCCAGGGAACCCGAGTTTATCGGGTGACCTCGGAGAAGGCGTCTCTGAGAAAGTCTCATTTGCATTAAGAGCTGAGTGATGTTTGCAGAGTCAGGAAGGCCGGTATGCGTGAAAGAGTGGTTAGGCAGAGCAGACAGCCTGTGCAAAGGCCCCGGGGCAGAAGGAGCTTAGAACAACTGGAGAACTGAAAGAAGGTTGTCACTGAGCTCAGAGTGGGAGGTGGAGTGGAGGGAGAGGAGGCTGGGCCGGATCCTGCAAGGGCTGTGGGGATCACTCTGGTTAGGTTGGGTCGGAGGGGGTTACATGGATAGGCTGGCGGTAAGTGGTGGGGCCTTGTGAGTGCGAGATGTCCAGGCACTGGGGTGAGGTGGGGCTGGCCGTGCTCCTTGGACCGGCCAGAGGCAGCCCTTCTCCCCACTCCTGCCCTGGCTCTCAGAAGTACCTTTTGGAGGTCCACCGCGTCCAACATACCCTGAACCCAGGCCTTTCTCCCGGTACCCAATTACAGGTTATTTACCCAACGGTGTGCACGCCGTGGAGGCCATGCTGGCTGCCGCGAGCATCGGCGCCATCTGGAGCTCCACATCCCCAGACTTCGGTGTGAACGTGAGTTGGGGTCCCCACCGAGTGCCCTGGGGGTGCGGCCACTGCGGCAGAAACCTTCCCGTGTGATTTCCGCAGGGGAGGGCTCTGTCCACCTGACATCTTGGGTAGGGGCGCGGGTGGCCATGCCGCAGGACTGGCGGGGCTGGAAGGCGACAATGTCACCGTGGCCTCCCATCTCATGGCCGGTGACATTGGAATGATGGGAGAGAAGGAGCCAGAAGGGGCGGAGTCTTGTTTTTCAATCTAAAAACGAATGAGTCTTCCTTCTTTCTTATATTACTAACGTCCCGTCCGTGTGTACGGACTGCGTTAGCGTGTGTTCTGTGTGACAGATGGCTCTTGGAGATCTAGCTGGAGGAGCCTGGTCATCTGTCCGTGGATCCGTGACCATGGAAGATTTTCTGTAGACAGTCGTCTGGGTTTGCTCACAGAGGTTCCCCCGAGGCCTCCCTACCATTTTTGATCTCTTACTTTGGATCTGTGTTCTCTGTGGGGTAGGAGGGTGGGCCTCCTTCTCTCTGTGAACCCCGTAGGGACCCAGGACCTGGGGTGCATCCAGCCCCTGGAGTGACCCAGGCAGAGGCAGGCAGCTCATGCTCAACCCCACCGTGGAGGATGAAGCAGCAGCAGAACAGGACTTACCCGGGGCCCCAGGGACCTTTCCTGGTTGCAGAGCCTTGGGGACGGGGGGGCTCTCAGGAGCCACGAGGACAGACCCCAGTTAGAGGAGCTGGAGGGCATCCATGACCATCATCCACTCTTTCTGGCATCGGACTGCTCCGCTCTCGTCACGGCCTCTGCTCCGGGCACTGGACCACGTAGCTCAGTGGCTGAAGGTTGGCCTGGACTTGCCGACGATGCGCCCCTGGGCCAGCTGTTTATCCTCACATGCGAAACAGGGGCCGTGGGGAGAGAGAGGGTCATGAAACGGGCGTAGGAGGCTCAGGTCCGGGATTGGCACACCTCGGCTGCAGGTTCGGCCACTGGCAATGTTGGAGCTCAGCACTCTATGGTCGGTGTGTGTCTTGGCTACAGGGTGGGTTTCTGGGTATGAGCTTGAAGCTCACGTCTGCCTTGGGGCTTGCTGTTCTGGTGAAGGCGGTCCAGGTACGTCACATTTCCCCCACGGCGTGTGAAGGAGGAACAGACGTGCTTCTCTGGCCCAGGGGCCTGGAGAAGTAAGTGAGCGGCTGAGGCTGGGGTGAGGACCTAGCTCTGCTGAGTTCAGGGAGGGGTGGCCGCCCCAGACCTCACCGCTTGGCGTGGTTTTCCTCCTGGGGCTTACCAGTGCCTGAGCCTGCTCGCCCCGTTGAGGACCACCCTAGGTCAGCAAGGACTGACCTGAGACCGGAACTCTCCGTGTGGCCTCTCCAGTGCCCCAGGCCGTCCGCGAGCCTGTGTGAGCTGCTTGGGGCCAGTGGCATCCTCATGGGAGGGTCCCTGAAGGCCAGGGCCAGTCCCTGGGCACTGTTCCCTTGGATCCCACCCTTGAGCTGGGTTGCTCAAGCAGGGCTGGGAAGGCAGTGCGGCGTGGTGGTTCCTGCCCGGGTTCGGGTCTGGCTTTGCTGCTTCTGGCCGAGTCCTCAGTACACACTGGGGAGCTGGTGAGGACTGCAGAATTATTGCTAGTGTGGGGTCGGGGGCAGCACCGGACGCCCCCACCCAGGTCGGTACGTGTTAGCCGTTATCCAGGAGCTGGGTGTTGTTGAGTGACATCGGGGATTTTGAGCCCTTTGGGAAGATGTCAGGAGAGCTGTGTGTGGCCCAGGGGGGCAGGCGCGGCCTTCTGGGGCTGGAGCGAAGCCCCTGCCTGAAGACCTCCCTGAGAGCAGAGCTCCTGATGGTCCCGGTGGCACATCGTACCTCCGGGTGCGGGGGCGGGTGTGGGGGGGCGCGGGACACAGGCAAGCGTCCAGCCACCTCCCGGCTGTTCTCTCCCGGATCATCATCCTCTCCAGGCCGCTCTGCTGGTGCCCGTGGGCGCTGGATGGCAGCCTGGCTTCGCTCTCTCCGCAGCCTTCAGCACGCCCTGGTCTGGGGAAGGCCAGAGTCTCGGGGGAGAGCGCTCCCTGCGGTCAGAAAACGACAGGCCAGCCGCCTTCCCACTCAGGTGCTTCCCTCCGCCCCGAGTTCCGGGAAGCTTTCCGGAAAGCTGTCATCTGCATCCTGCCTCCGGTGGGCGCAGCTGGGCGTGTGTGCGATCCGGGCTGCCGTGCGCCCCGCCTTCCACCTCTTCCGCTTGTCCTCATTCTCAGCTTGGAGCCCGACACAGTTGGGTGTGGGGGTGTCGCCAGGCGGGGAGAGTGCTGTTTTCTGGGTCCCCAACCTTCCAGCCTCCCCCAGACCTCCAGGTCCTGCGTTTTTTTTGGCATTTTGGTTTTTTTCTTTGTTTCACTGTTTTCATTTGAGTCTGGTGGCTCCTCCACAGATGTGCGGGGGGTCCAGCCCCTGACATCCACGCATCCGAGCGCCGCACCTGCACCCTCACGGCGTTTTCAGGTCTCCATGCGCACAGAACGGGGCAGCTGTCCCCGCCCGGCTGGCCGGACGCACCAGCCCAGGTGTGCTGCGTCTCTGCCCGATAAAGGCAGCTGCGGCGCGGGCGGCTCTCCTGGACCTGCTCGGAGCTTCACCTGTGCTTCCCCAGCCAGGTGGGCGTCCACCTGGGGCCTCCGAGTCCGTCCACAGCCCGGCCCAGACCTCTGATTCGGAAGCACTGTGGTCTTTGCCGTGTGCGGGCTGTGCCGCCCGAGCCCCAGGCCCCTGGCGGGCCGGGTCCTTTCATCCGAAGTTTGTTGCCACCTGGCGTGGGGAGAGCAGGAGAGGCGCTTGGTGTCACCAGGACATCTCTGCTCCCTTCCAGGGCTCCCCCAGGCCCGCTCTGTGCAGCCCCTCCCGGATCCCGAGCCTTGCCCCTGGCGCCCTCTGCCGGCAGACAGCCTCGTTCCCTGGGTTGCTCCGGCCTGAGCTTCCCTCTTCCTCCTCCTGCTTCCGTCTGCCTGGGATCCAGCCCTGTTCTCTGCGGCTGCCCTTTGGTTTCCTGGCCCACGGGCGGGTCTTCCCTAGTGGAGGCGGCCCCACGGTTAAGAGCCCCGGGCTGCAGGCCCAGCTGTGTCACTGGCTAGTTGGGAAGGCTGGGCGACTGACTGGAGCTGGCGCTGCCTCCTCGAGGAGGTCGAGCTGCCCCCGGGGGTGTGCAGGCCAAATGTGTGAGTGCCCGTAGCAAGCCGGAGTGGTGCCTGGCACACAGCACTCCGTACGTGGTAAGGGATTTTTAATGGCAAAAAGTTTCTTCCCAGATAAATCAGCAACTCTCAGCCCATCTTAGAATCCTGAGCTTTAAGAATACTATCTATTTTGCTATAAAATAGCAAAGTTTGTACATCACCACAGTGCCTTTTATCCACCTAATGGTTTTCCTGGTGAGCCTCAGGAATTTTCTGCGTAGCTCTTCCCCTTGCGTGCACGGACGAGTTGCCCAGGTCTTTACACCTCTCCCTTCTGGTTCCCACCTCCCTGCGGTGTTGAAGACTGGGATTTTCTTGGGAAATCATGGCTTCACTGCTTGTGCTCTTGGAGTAACCCGGGTGTTGGTCGTGAACCGCTGGCCTTGGACCCATGCACAAGGGAACGGAAGGGCCGTTCTGGGTGGTGTCTTCCCAGGCACTGTGTTTGTGGATGAAGAGGGCTCTACCCTGGTCTGAACTTGGGGGAGACCTGGCTTTTCCCTGTCACCCCTGGGAGAACACTCAAGCTGTGGGGAGCGTGTCGTGAGGCTACACCTGTCAGTTCCAGAAACAAGGGGTTACCTGCATGGGAGGCATGCCTTCTTGCAGAGAGAGAGGTGTGCTTGGCAGGATGGTGGGTTCCGCGTGTGGTATAAACAGACACGTGGCTGTGGTGAGCCTGCCTTTTGTATGTATTTATTTATGAAGAGGATTTATTTATTTATTTTAGAGAGAGAGAAAGCATGTATGGGTGTGAGCCGGAGGAGGTGCAGAGAGAGAGAGAGAGAGAGAATCCCAAGCAGACTCCCGGCTGAGCGTGGAGCCTGACATGGGGGTTGATCGATCCCATGACCCGTAAGATCATGACCTGAGCTGAAATCACAAGTCGGATGCTCAACCACCTGAGCCACGCAGGCGCCCCGAGTTTGCCTTTTAAATGGAGCTTATTTGTTAGTATACACGTTGATAGGGTTGTGCATTTCATTGGCAAAAAGTACCATTTGGAGGACTCACGGACCTCTTTAATCGAGGATTAGAAGAGAACCAGAATGTGGAAGTGCTTTGCAGTGCGAGTTGCCGTTTTGGAAGGTGAGTCCTGTACGCTAGGGGACCCGTGTTCGAGGCTCTTTCTGCAAAGTGGGGGATCTTTCTGGAAGTGCCGCTACTCGCCCCACGATTTCCCTGTCTTACAAACTTGTGTTTTGCTATTTCAGTGTATGTGCATATGTTCTTTTGGTATTTCTTTATGTCGAGGCTTTCCTTGAAGTGACGTTCACGTCTCGGGCGCAAGTTGTGGTTCGCTGGGCTTTCTTCGTTGGCCACGGCTGACGGGGACACAGGGATGAGGCCATGCCCCAGTTCGAGCTGCTCCTCTCCCTGCTGAAGGTGTTTGCCTTTTGTGTGACTGATGGCGAGCACCCTTTCCTTCCACTTGCAGGGTGTTCTGGACCGCTTTTCTCAAATCCAGCCGAAGCTCATCTTCTCCGTGGAGGCCGTCCTATACAATGGCAAAGAGTATAGCCACATGGACAAGCTGCAGCAGGTGGTGAAAGGTGTGTGGCTCTCCCGGGTCTGAGCCAGCAGGGCAGGGCGCGGCGCGCAGGAGCCCCCAGGGTCACAGCGCCCCGTGTGCTCATCCCTTGGTTGCATTACACTTTGTAAGAAATGCAACGACTAAATGTCTTGGCCTGCAAACCTGTGCTCCTCCGCTCCCTTCAGGACTTCCAGACTTGAAAAAGGTGGTGCTGATTCCTTACATTGCCTCGAAAGAGAAGATAGACATTTCCAAGATTCCAAATAGGTAAGCCAGCCACGCGCTGATCGCTGGTTCTGGGCAGAACCCACAGGAAGTCCCAGTGGGTAGTCGACTCTGTGGATCCTTTCACTGGGGGCCGTAGCATCTTAGAGGTGCGGGAGGTTTTGGTTAAAAACCACAGTTTGTAGATGGGCACCCGAGGCCCCAGAGTGCATCCCTCGAGACCACACAGCAACTTAGTGGTGGAATGGAGAGAGCCCCAGGAGTGCTCTGTCTCTCTGCCTTTGAAGCATCAGGTCAAGCCCAGCTCCCTGATGAAATGGAAATTACCACGTGCACGTGTGTGCGTGTGTGTGTGCATGTATGTGTGCATGTAAACACACACATGTATATATATATTTCCCTTGTAGAACCTTTTCTTTGTCCTTATTGCTAATTGTATCTTCTTCTGTTTTTCTGACATTTATAAGCTGGTGCATCATACACCTCAAGTACCAAATAGTATTGTGAGCAGTTTGTTTTCGAATAGGAATTACGGAAGTGGGTTATGGTTTGGTCACAGTTGAGTTTGTCTCCAAATTCTTGGAGTTATACTCTTTCCTCCTTCCTTGAAACCATCGTGGGGGAGGGTTCCAAGGTCAGGTGTGTTTGCTCCCTTTCGCTCTGTGGGGAGGACAGGAAGGAGTTTGCAGGGGTCCCTTTATTGGGGCGGACAACTGACACGTGGCTTGGTGTTTTGTGTAGGTTGCTTTCTAGGGGTGCTGAGGGGTTTCAGTTTTGTGGGAGGGATGAGATACACTTGCCGGGAGGGTGAGCCATGGCCACTGGGCCAGGCAGACACAGCCGGGCTCCTTGGGGCATGTGCTCCGATTCCAGAGGCCACAGGGTGCTGTCAGCACAGGAATTCTTCCCTGGGAGCTGTGGTCTCAAGCCAGACTGTGCAGGTTCAGATGTCAGCTCTGTGACCCCGTGTGAGGGATTCACCTGTGTGTGCTTGGGGTTCCCTGTCTGTAAAATGGGGATGATCACAGCGCTTTCTTCCAGGTGGGCTATGAGCATTCTGTAAGTGAATGCTGGGCCAAGTGCACTTAGTGTAGCCCCCAGCAGTCCCGTCTGCCATGGTGAGTGGGGGACAGCCGCAGGCTGCGGTGGGCTCTGTCCCACAGAGCGTCTGGGTCAGGATATGCAGGCCTGGCGCTTGGGTCGTCCCTGAGACTGTGGGAGCCCTGCCAACCTTGATGAATGACAGCCAGATGACGAGCCCTGGTCCCAGTTCCCACTGCGCACACAGCTCCCCTGCCTTTCTCTTGGGGGCCGTAACGCACGGAGGCCGGGAGGAAGACCAGACGGGCTCGCTGGCCCCACAGTGGCCCGGCTTTTATCCTTCTGAATGTGCTCATCAGCAATTTATATGAACCGAGAGCATCCTGTGGAATCACGTTAGCCACTTCATTTAGCTTGATACAATGCAAAAAGCTGCCGCCATCCCAGTCTGGGAATTAGACCTCCTCTGCGCTTCGTCTTTGATTGCTGGATGCTATAGATAAACTAAGAACAAGAGCGCGCCCAGGCTTGGAGACCTGGGGTGGGGGGTGGGGGTGCACCCTTTGGGATTTTCATTTTTAGAAGAGCAACAAAAGTAATTGCTATTTACTGTGATTTATAGACCGTTTGGAAGAAAAGGTTTTTCTCTGTGTGAAGTATCTGATTAGATTGGGCAGTTTGTGTAAATGGGAATTGAAGGGGAGGTGGAGGTGGAATGGGGCTTCCATTGGCTGGAAAGTTCCACAGTGAATGACTTTCCTGACCCTCTGGAGCAGAAGGCTTTGTTTGTTTACTGCTCAGAGTTGAATTATTCTGGATGCATGCCCTTTTTAAACCTCTGCGCCTCCCCCATGAGACCTCCTCGTCCTTAAGGATGCTTTCCCATGCAAGATAGCGCAGTTCTTCCCTTTTGTGTGTATGCACTTGTGTTTCAGAGTAATTATCCTCTCCCAAGATGGCTTTGTGGCTTCAGCTGCCCTATTTCTGTTCAGAAAAATCTGTTCGTGTTCCTCCTTTGCTGGTTTTTGGCCACATGCACTGACGCTTTATGTCAGCTTTGGGGGCAGATTTCTTAGGTGGTAGTCAGTGGCAGGACTTAATTTTGTTTCTGGACAGAAATTTGTACCTAGCTGTTGTCTTCCTCGTGGTAGCATGTGATGCATTTGCCTAGAAGTGTCTCTGTCATAGAAGCTAGTCTTCAGATCTCGGCCCCACCTTCTCGCTCCGACCTTCCTTGGAGATAGAAGCTCAGGAATCTGGTACCTCCCTTCCCTCCCTGCTCCTCACAGGGGGCAGCACTGCGTTCACAACCTCCTACCCCTGAGTTGCGTACAAACGGGATGTGTTGGTTGTAAGTGATCCTTCTGCACGGTGCTTGTTAAAGCATTCCAGAGATTCTCAGAAGAGGCCCTTGGCCCTGTCAGCATGCTAATAAAGCAACTCAGAATCTTCACTCATTCAGTTCTTTTCCCTTCAATTAGCGTGAATTTGAATTCATAAATATTTGACTTTCCCCCTCCCTCACGGAAAGCTTCCACACAAGGTTAGTGTTCCCTAGAAATCCTACAAGGTAGCAGTAGAAGGCAGCGAGAGGCCACGTCTAGCCCAGGAAGCCTCGGCAGATGCAGCCCAGCATTCTGGAATGTTCACTGTCTGTCTCTGTGTTTTGCCCCCAGCGTGTTTCTGGATGACTTTCTTGCAACCAGGAAAGGCGAGCAGGCCCCACAGCTGGAGTTCGAGCAGCTGTCCTTCAGCCATCCCCTCTTCATCATGTTTTCGTCAGGCACGACCGGGGCGCCCAAGTGCATGGTGCATTCCGCTGGGGTACGTCTCTTCAGCCTCTGTCTGCTCCCCTGGGGACTCCCAGCTGGTGAAAACAGCCATCTGAGTCTGCCCCCCAAACCCCCGCCCCAGCCAGACCGCACCCCCTCCCCAGAGACTCCGTCATGTAGCCCCTCTTCGGGGGGGGTGGGGTGGGTAGCGTGGAGGCCTGAGACTGAGCGCGGGCACTCGGAGCTGCTGTTCCAGGAGCTGCGTCACCACTGCGATGGGTGCAGGGGCCCCGAAGTGCCTCCCAGGCAGGGCATGCCCTGGGTGAGCCCCCAACTCCCACAGTGCGGCCCGGACCCTGTAGGTGCTTGTGAAGGCGGTGGGTGGGCCCCGCCGGCATTGCACAAAGAAGAGAGGAGAGCCGGGAGAACAGCAACCGTGAGCACATGGAGGGTTCGGAGAGGTGCTGGTGTTGTGATGCCGTCGTGTTAGAAGGGCGTGCGCGGAGGTGCGCGCGTGCTCCGTGGCGTGCTCGGACAGAGCTGCCCGGGGGCTGTGGCCGAACCCCGGGAAAGCTCACCAGGCCGCAGTCGTGGGCTTGCGCTGCTGTCGCCGAGCACCACGGGCTGGTGGCTTCACCGAGAGCCATGTGCTCTCACGGCTCCCGGGCTGGGATGGGGGTCGGGGGTTCCGCTGGGGCCTCTCTCCTTGGCTTGCAGACGGCTGCCTTCTCCCTGCACCCTCACGCAGTCTTCCCTCAGCGCGCGTCCCTGGGCTCTCGCGTATGGCCCAAATTCCCTCTTCTTGTGAGGACATCAGTCAGATTGGATTAGGACCCGCCCTCGTGGGCTCTCTGACCTCATCACCTCTTTAAACGTAGCCACATTCTGAGGCCCTGGGCCTCGGCCTCAGCATACGACTTCGGGGACCCCCAGTTCAGCCCACGCACTCCTCGTTTCCCTGTATCTCATTACAGGTCCCGCTTCACTGAAGCACCTGAAACAATGCTTCGCTACTAAGTGTGAGATTTTATCCGTGTCGATTAGTGGCCCTAACCTTTTATGCTTGAAGCACCTGCGAGCCTGTGGGAAAGCTGCGGGACAGCCCGGTGGGCCCCGGCAGCCTTGGTGCTCTCAGCATCCGTTCCCGAGCTTTCCAAGAAGCCTCTTCTGCGTGGCCTCCGTCCCCGTGTGGACACACGCGCACACACACACACATACACACATTCTTTTGCTTCTTGCTGACTCCCTGAGAGTGGGTTGCAGGGTGCGGCCCTTCATCCTGAATACTTCAGCGCGCGTCTCCCGGGAACAAGCACGCTCCCTCACAAACCCCTCGTACGGTCGTCGAGTTCGGGAAGATGGGCGTCAACGTGATACCGTGACATGACATGTGGCCCCCGTCCGGGTGCTTCCGCTCCCCCCACGACCTCCCACGCAGCAGCCTGCTTCCCCCGCCGCCCCGCCCGGGGTCCGTGCTCCAGAACAGCTCCTCGGCCTGCCCCCCTCGGACGACAGTGGCATTTTGGGAGTGTGGCTGCCGGTCTTGCAGAATGGCTCCCTGACGCGTTGGATGCGTCCTGCTGCTTAGATCCGGGTGACACCTTCTGGAAGCGATAACGGGTTTTTCTCCGTATGTCTGGTCAGGAGGCAGCCGACGCCCTTTACTTCGTACTTGTCATCTAACCAGGTCAATCTTCAGAGATACCATTCCTGGGTGCACTTGGTATTTTTCTATGACCATGACCCCTCCTGGCCTCCTCATGTCATCCTGGCCTTGATGGGAAAGCTGCCTTCTGACTCGGGCACAGTCCCCGCCTGGCGCTCCGACGTCTCCTGGGCCGGTCCCCTTGCTCCGTGGCCCCCGTGCCCGAGGCGCTCCTTCCGGGTGCCCTGGGCTTCTTACCTGGCCGGCTCTGCAGCTCTCTCCAGACCCGCTTTCCCACTTCTCCCTCAGTTGGCTTAGCCTGGAGGGAGGAGAAAAACCCACAGACTCTTGGTCAAACCTTGTCATAGCCTTCTCTCCTCCCCCTGCTCAGAAGAAGGGGGTTGTCCGAGAGGAGAAAGCTCCTGTTCCCAAACGGCTTTCTAGCTATTGCTTCATAAGATGGTAGCATTTGAAAATCAAATATGGAATTTCTCTTATTCTAGTTCATTTAGCTTTTACAGATGTTTCCTATGCCTAGAAGCAGTCTGAATCCCTCCCATAAAAAGGGGACATTTACATTTGAATCATTTTAAAGCCTTATACAGCTTTTCACAGAGCGTTTCCATCAGAATGGGGAAAGGGCTTAGCGGGGCTCCATTATTACCTGGATTTGGATTCGCTGAAGGTCTGATTGCAGGTTATATACACCAGGAGTCTGTGGGCGACTTCTCAGGAAGCCACAGGGCAGGAGGGAGGGGACGCTTTATTTCTGCAAGTAACACTGGCCAAACCGAGTTGCCTTTTTGTAGGAGTGAGTTGACCTTGTTCAAACCATCCTGTTTTATTAAATCACGTCAGGTGTGTTGAGAGTGTAAGACGTCATTTGCTATGGTTGCTGGAATCACATTTTCCCTGGAGAGGGGAGCTCTAGTCTGCCTGGTCACAGGCCCGTTAACAAGCTATAGAGAGGAGCGTTTTTAGAAACCTTGTAGACAGGGGTGGGGTATGTGTGGCAAAACAACAGACATTTTAGGAAAAAACTGAAATGTCTAACTGCACTTTTATTTTTAGTGCTTTTTGCATAGTGAATGTCACTTTTTTAGGCGAGGAACATAAAAATGTATTAGATATAATGTGGCTTGCTCATAAAATCATCATGCCTGGTATATTTAGAGTATGGACAAGTCAGGAAAAATCATACTTATTCTGTCTTCCCTGGGCTCTTGCATCTCCAGAGAAGTGACTAAGCATCTTGTCTGTTCTGTTCAAGAGTTCCCTCAACAGGAACCTTGGCCACAGTGAGGGATGGGAGGGCCGTCCCCCTGCTTTACTGGGGGTGCTGTTCCTGGTTTGCAGGCTTGTGTTTTCCGAGTTGACAAGAGATCTCAGAAAGCAGCTTCCCTCTTCTTTCTATGAAATTAAATTCCTCTTTTGCTTGAGATGCACAAAGTCATGTTGCTCATACTTCCTTCCCCTCAGACTCAGCCATAAATACTTAAAAATTAAGAGCAAAACTACTGCTGTGAATTAAGGTTCATTCAGAGAGATTCTTGGGAGAGAAGCAAAGCCAGGCTTGTTTTTGTGCTGCCTGCGAGGAGGGGGAGAAGGCACCAGCGAACAGATGTAGGGTTATGAATAGGCCCGGCTCAAAGCAGACCGCACTGATGAAGAAACAGGTCTAGACTAAATGACGCTTTTAAGTAAGAACACGGGAGGGGGATTTGCCGCGGGCTCCTGTTGTTAGGGAGCCCCTGGCCCTGGCAGTGGATTTGGCATGTGAACGTTTCATGCTCACTGAAAGAGTTCCTGAAGCGATTGTTGGCCCCAGGCGGGTTCCCCCACCCCCGCCCGGTTCCGAGGGAGAGTGCTGGGTCGTGCAACTTTGCACCGAAGCTTGCGACCCCCTCGGTGGGGGGCTGTTCCCGACCCCCATGATGCACGCTCCATAAAGCCACCAGAGACCTGGCGTCTGCAGGTGGTCTTGGGGACGGACCCTCAGAAAGGTCCTCCCCCCCCCGAAGCTTCTGTGCTGGGGTCTGCCCAGCCCCCGAGCGGCTCTGGTCCCTGCTGCTGCTCGTGGGTCTGGCGATGGCCTTTGTTCTGGACGTGCTCTGGAGTAGGAGACTTTGTTGGGTAGGGTTGTTTCCACTGAGCTTTGAAAGGATCCTCTCTGCCTGCGGGCTTGTTTTTATTTCTCCTGGGTATGAAGAGGATCGGTTGTAAAGGCTGCTTGTGATACATGGGGTCCTTGCTTCAGACCCGATAGTCCCGAAACAACGGGGGCCCGTTGCCACCAGCCAGGTGCTCCCATCTGTGGAGCAGACTGAAGTATGGTGGCTGGCCTCTGCAGGGGCCCCCGAAGGGCAGTGCCCCATGTAGCCTCGGGATCGTGTATGAGATCCACGCACAGATGGGAGCACCGAGGCCGAGGGACACTAGGTGGCTGGCGCAGGGCCCCTTGCTCTGCCCTCCGCATGGTGCTCGGAGGTGGGGTGCTCCCCCTCTGCCCTGTGAGCCGCAGACAGACAGGACAAGTTCGGCAGGAGGGGTGTGGGCGGTGGGGTATTACAGAGCTGAAAATAAAACACGAGGGAGCTCTCGGGGCTCGGATAAAGAGCTCCAAGGTATGTTACGTGGAAAGAGCAAAGTGCAGGGCAATGTGTGCAGATAAGAAAGTCAGCGTAAATGGATACACGTTGATAGGCCAGGAGTATACCTGGAAACACGCAGGACGTGATGCTCGGCTGCTGGCGAAGGGGGGCGGGGGGGCTTGTCGTGCTGTCCGCTCTGGAGCATCAGGCCATGCGCGGACACTTGCCGTTAAATGTTGAGGTCGAGAAAGAGTAGACGGTGCGTGGGGGCTGGGGTCTGACTGGGTGTTTGGGCTGAAGGCACGGTGTCGTGTGCGAGGCTCGAAGTGCGCTGCGGGGGCGTGGTGGCTGCGTCCCCCGAGTGCGGCCCTGTCACCGTGCTTCCGGGTCCGCGGGCTGCAGGCGCGTGCTGTCGTGCTGTGCTCCTGTCCCTCTGCCCCTGGCCGTGACTTTGCCTCCCCACTTCTCTGTGCCGGGGCTGGGGTCCCACGGTGCTCCTGATCTGAGGCAGCTGAGCTCGCAGCTGCTCGGTGACTCTCGGGTCAGGTCGCAGGGTGCCGCGGGAGTCCCGCTCATCCAAGCGGCGCGCTCAGAAGTCTGCTTCCTCCGGGAAAGGGAAGGCAGGCCGGCTTCTCCCCCGGGGCTTTGCGTCTGGGCTGTGTGTGCTCACACTGCTGTCCCGCCTCTCCCCAGGGCACCCTCATCCAGCACCTGAAGGAGCACGTTCTTCACGGCAACATGGGCAGCGGAGACGTCCTGCTGTATTACACCACGGTAGGCGGGCTCCGAGGGCGCCAGGAACCAGGAACCGGGCTGTGTATCGGGGCGGGTGCCCTCCGGTCCGCTGCGCCCCTCCCGTCACTGGCTTTGGTCCCTTCAGGGCCAGTGTGATTGGTCATGGGTTTTGTGATGGGGGCATTCTCTTGCGTGAGCCGGGTGGGCCCAACGGGAGCACACGGGTCCTGGTACGAAGGCGGCGGGAGGGCCAGCGTCAGAGAGGAGATGGGGCGAGGGAAGCAGAGTTCAGAGAGGTGGGGTCACGAGCCAGCGGGCGGGAGTGGCTTCTTGAAGCTGGAAAAGGCAAGGGAAGAGATTCCTCCCGAGAGCTTCCCGAAGGCGCACAGTCCTGCTGACACCTTCACTTTGGACTTCTGGCCTCCAGAACTCTCGCATAATGCGTTTGTGGTGTTTTAGGCCACTCAGTTTGTGGCAGTTTGTTGGAGTGGAAATAGGAAATGTATACAGGTGGTTCTCCCAAGTACTGTGACAGCAGGGGGTCCAGGTGTGGAGGCGGGTTGGGCCTGAGACTGTGCTGGGGACCGGAGCTGCTCCCCATTGCAGGACCAGCCCCGGAGGCCCCGTGTCCCTGCCATGGGCGTGGGCCTGTGGCTCCAGCTGCCCCCACGCCAAGCCCATGCGTGCGCTGGCTGGCGCTGCCCTCACAGAAGGAGTTGTGGTGGTTGTTTTTTTAAAGACTTAGTTTATTTCTTTTAGAGAGAGAGTGCATGCAAGAGCATGTGAACAGGGGCAGGGTCAGAGGGAGAGGGACAGAGCCCGTTGTGGGGCTCGATCCTGCAACCCTGAGATCATGACCTGAGCTGAAATCAAGAGTCGGGTACTAAACCAGCTGAGCCACCTGGGGCCCCACTCACAGAAGGAGTTCTGTTCTGGCCCGAATCCTTGCTGGTGCACCTTGTGGCCGAGCCCGGGTACCCAGCTGGTCTGCCTGGCCACCTCGCTTCTCACTGGGCTGTTTCACTAGAATCCTGGAAAGGCTGCTGCATTCGCTGAGCAAGGACGGGGGCCCAGGGAAGGCAGATAGCACAGTGGAATACAATGTCCTCCGGGTCAGATGCCACTGGGACGTGGAAGGGATGGGACCCTGCCTCCAGCACATTCTCCTGGCTTAGTGTGGGATATGCATCATTAAACCAGAGCCTGGCTTCAAGCAATTGGAGACACTCCTGTCCTTGTTGAGCTCTGTAAGATGAACACTTAGGACGAGTTAAAGGAAGTAGTGTTTTATTCCAAAAGAGGAAAACTTGAAGTTGGCTTTTTCCAACTGCAAATATCAAAAGGTTTCAGAGTGATTTAGCTCCATTTTCTGGATGACAATTCTGTGCTGAGTTTTTAAGGAAACCGAATGTGTTCCCAGCCTGTGAGGTTGATGGCCAGGGCCCTGGCTGTGTCCCTGGGGACAGAGCCCGGGATTCCACGCACTCACTCAGGGAGCACTCCACGCGCAGGCTGCCTCGTCACTCGGCATGTCCAGCTGAAAATCAAGGGCTTGGGCCCAGTGATTGGGGTTCCCCTCTGCTGCAGGGATTTATCCCCGACCCTCCTCCCCCCCTCCCCCCACACAGGCCAGTGGTGCTGGGCACCGCCAGGCTCTGGGCCCTTTTCACGCAGAAAGCCCAGCAGTGTGATGGAGCGTCTTTTGAGTTGCAGGGAGACCCTGGCAGGTGCAACGATGTTCAACTCAGCTGCCTCCCTGGGACTCACGGTTTAAGATGCCGGGGTTTTACATCGAGGGCAAGAACATAATGAGAAGAACTCAGATCTGGAGCGGTTTTCCCAAAGGCATTTCATTTTTCCTGAAGCATCCTGCTTGGGAGGGATGGGCAGGTGGCTTTTTCTGTGGAGCATGCTGGCGCCCCCAGCCTTGGGTGACAGCAGCTGCAGGGGTCCCCCCGGCCCGAGCCAGGCCTGCGCCGTGTCCCTAACTGATGGACTTTAACCGCTTTCTCGGACAGTGAGTTGTCCGGGTCACTGTGCTGCTTGGGCTGCCCAGCGCTGGTTTCTTTTGTTAAGAATAATTCCTCTGAAAGAAACTCACCTAGGGATATTAAAACTTGAGATTTTTGGGTGACCCCAGCACTGGTGTCGCTGAGGGGAAGGACAGGTAGCTTTTCAGGGGCCCGCTGGGTTCTTGAGCCCGTCACTCAGGCCGTCGGTGACTGCTTGCTGAGGCTCTGTGCTGGTTGTCTCTTACGTGCCCTCGTCTGGGGGTTCTTAGCCAGGCTGTACTGGTGGGCTGCTTGGGGTGCCTCGTGGGGTGCCCGGCCCCCCCGAGGGACCTGCACAAGGGCATGGGCGGGGCATCCTCCTGGCCCTCCGTGCCTCCCGGGAGGACATTCCTGCTGCCTGCTGGAGCTTTCCTCCGGCTCCCTGGCTCCTTGGTTCCCTTGCTGTGTTGGTTTAGCTCTGCAACCGCCCACAGTTGCCCCTGCATGGATGGGAACACCATTGCCAGTGGGTTTGTGAGCACCTTTTTGCCTTAAAATTTTTCCTACCAAAAAAAAAGGCCTTCTTTGCATACGAAAAACATTCACACGCTGAGACATCAGGGTCCTCCTGGGCGGGGGGTGGCCACGTTGGTCGTGCTCACACACGCGTGTGCGTGTTCCCGTGGCACATGTGGACGCCTGCCCGGGTCTCTGGGTTTGTGCACAGCCACGCTTTCCTGCGTGGGGACAGGGTTCTGCTGCACCCCATCTGCTGGCTTGTTTTACACGTAAGCTCAGAGACTGGTCCACGTCCGCACAGGCCTCGTTCTCGTGAACGGCGGCGGTGGGCTGACTCCTGAAGGCTTGCCACGTGCTGTTCCAAATGTCTGATGCGGCTTCACGGATTCGTGTGCGGTGTTCCACAGTAGATGTGCGTGGTGGACTTCTGTGTTGGTGGACGTCTCCTTGCTTTCCATCTCCCAGCAAGGCTGCAGTAAACCTCCTTTGGCCCATCTTAGCGTGCACGTGTGCATGGATCTGTATGGGAAACTTGGCGTGGAGTTGCTGGGGTGAAGCATCGTGCATCGGAGATGGGCAGTTCTTGCCAACTGTTGGCTCAGTTTCAGAAGGTTTTCTAGGGACGTGAGAAGCTGAGTGACAGAGGCAGGGGCACTTGGCCCAGCGTTCTGTTGACACTGTGTTCCTTCTGTCTGTTCCAGGTCGGCTGGATGATGTGGAACTGGATGGTGTCCGCTCTTGCCACGGGGGCGGCCGTGGTCTTGTACGACGGCTCCCCCCTGGTGCCCACGCCCAGCGTGCTCTGGGACCTGATTGACAGGATAGGGTAGGTGCCCGAGACACTGTGCTCAGCCACAGAGCCGCCCTGCTGTCCACTGCGCTAGCACTGGAGTCTTCTTGGGAGCGCTTGGCCCCCCAGAAGGCGAGGGAGGGCAAGGGAGGTTGAAGTTGCCGAGGAGGGTGGGAAGGGGCAGGCAGTCCTGACAGGGACTGACCAAGGAGAAGGGGGCCACCCCCAGGGGCCAGGAGTGAGTCTGGAACATCAGGGTACAGGAGAGGGAATGGGATCTTGTGTCTCTAACTCTGGAGCCTTAGAACTGCTGGAAAAGCCCAGGAGAAAGGGAGACAGGGCCAGCGAGGGTTCTGTCTCATGCAGGGCTCCTCTAGCTCCAGGGTGGGCTGGGGTGTAAAACAGGCTGCCTGGGGGACGGTGTGGATACGTCCATGGAGCGCAGGTGCAGAGCCCAGCACTGGGGCATTCACAGGGTCTGGGCGTCCCACCGCCAGCCTTCTGAGCCTCATGGTGAGAGGACAGTCCTGCTTTTGTCAGCTGTCCCTGGAGTGTCCTTGGACCATCACAAGGTTGCTCCAAAATGCTCCTGTAGATGCTGCATGGGGGTGTCTGCCTCCATGCCGTCCTGCTAATGGCTCGCTTCTTGGGTGGGATGAGCTGGGATCCCAAGGAGCAGAGGCCGAGTGTGGGGAAGGATGCTGGAAAGTGTCAGGAGACCGTTCTGTGAGTGCTTTCTTTGCTGATGAATTAATCATATCCGGTGGAAGCGTCCTCCCCCTTGCGGGCTGTGCTCACTGTCGGCCTAATGATCACGGTTCCGGGGGTGAGAATATAGAAGCAGCCGAGCTCCGGGGGCCTCTGACACGTGCTCATTACTCTAAGTTTGAGTCTGTTCATGGTGGGGAAGCAGAGGAACCAGTAATGTTTTTAAATCCTTGGCCATTAATATTTCAAATATAACTTTGCCTGGCCTGGGTAGTATTTAAATCCTGACATTTGGCTCACAATATTGGCGAGGAAGGTTATTTCCTAATGAGACTGTTTCCAGCGAAAGGTTAATTGAATCCCTGGGAATGGAGATGACTTTAAGAGCTTTACCCTTAATACCTGTGAGCTAGGCTCCAGGTGGGGACACTTTTTGGTGTGTGTACGCATGTGTGTGTAACAGGAAGACAGAAAATACGCATTATTGGGGCTCAGTGCTAACGAATTTGAAGGATTAAGGGCCCCAGGAAAGCCAGTTCAGTGTGTGTGTGAGTGTGTGTGAGTGTGTACGTGCACGCGTGTATGTGTCTGCCTGTGTGCACAAGTGTGTGCTTGCGTGAGCAAGAGTATGTATGTCCACGTGTGTGGATGAGTGTGTATGCGCACAGGTTTGAGCGAGTACATGGAGGTGTGTGTGTGAATATGTGTGAGCAACAGGGAGTGCCTGTGTGGTTGTGCGTGCACGTGGGGGTGAGTGCATGTATGTGTGTGAACGAGTGTGCGCGCGCGCATGTCTGAGCATCCACGGGTATGTGGTCTGAGCCAACGTGGTAGGCACGTCCTGAGCATCTGCCTTCCATCAGCCCCGGACGCTGCTGGAGACATGGCCTTGGCCCTCCACAGGGCCCGTCTGGGCCGGCCGCGAGCTTCCCTGCCCGGGTCATGGAGGCCGGTGCAGCTCTGCGGCCAGGCAGGAGCTGGGGGAGGGGTGCTTGGGAGGACTGCGGGCCTCAAACACCTGCTCCAACTGCCAACGGCCATTGAAGGAGGGGGTGCAGGTCAGGTGTGGCGGGAGACCTTCATCTGACCTTTACCTGTGCCCGCCTGCTGAAAATGAAAACTGGTCACATAAAATCCTACCTGTGTGTGGCGAGAGGAGCGGCTCTCCCAAGCCGGCTGACAGCAGGGTCCTTGCAGGCCGTTTCAGGGTCTCTGGGTTTTTAAATAACATTGACTAATGTAGGAAGGAAATCTTTGCCGAAAGACGTGTCGGCTCAGAGACTTACGAACATGTCTGATAACAGAGCATTTATTTTGTAGACACAAACAAGGTTCTTCTAAAAGATGAATTTTCTTTGTCATTTGGGGTGTATTTCTGGGCTCTGGGAGTCTGGTTCGAGGGATATTTGGGTTAGAGTTGGGGCCAGAACTCTGGGGTCTTTTGTCCAGGCTTTGTGTGTACCTGGGCCAGCATCAAAGCCACCTGAGCTCCCACGTGTCGCCTGTCTCTGGGTAGAAGAGGCCTAGGTGGCGCATGGTGGGGCCTGACGGACTCATCTGGCAGAGTGGACTTGCTGGACAGCCGTCTGCAGGGTCATGTCTGCATCCTGCACATCTCTGGGTGTTTGGTCTGCACCAGGTGCCCTGCTGGGCCCTGGGGTGTGCACAGCAGTGGTGGAGGCAAGTGGGTCCCTGTCCTCGTGGGGCTGCACCCAAATGGGGGAAGGAGAGAGAAAAAGTGCTGTTGGTGCCCTGAGGTCAGGGACGCTCCCCGGAGGCAAGGCCGCCTTGCCGCCGGGGTCTGAACCTCAGGCCTGGGGAGGGGACACGAAACATGTTCCAGGCAGAGTGCCCGGCCCTAAGGTGGGACTGGGATAGGTGTGCGCGGGGAGACCCTGTGCTATGAATGTGAAGGGTGGATGTGGGGCTGGCTAGGGGATGGGGGCAGGAGGCTGGTCCCTCCGGGACTCTCAGGCTGGTGTGCATGGTGGGTGCTTTTCTGCATGAAACACGACACCACTGGAACGTTTGAAGCAACACAACCCGGTGTTTTTAAAGGCTAAGTGTTGCTCCTGAGTGGAGAATGAATCGGGGGGTGGCGGGGCAAGGGCAGACACAGGGAAACTGATGGGTCTTTGGCGGATGGAGTTCCCCAGGCACAGGGGGGGTGGCCTTGGAAGCACTGTCTGTGAGCTGCCCTTGGGGCGCTGGGGCCAATACCTGTCCAGCCGGGAAGCTGCCTCATGCTTTGTGCAGTGACCCAGCAGTATTCCCTAACAATATGCAGTGCTGAGCACCCACACAAAGCTCCCATGCTTCGTGAGCTGAGTGCGTTTTTACACATCTGCAAGCCCTGGAGATGGATGGGAAGACCTTCCCGTTCTTCAGACAAGCAGGCCTGTGACCCCGGCCCAGCACCTGCTCAGGGTCTCTGTGCATTGCCAAGGTCAGGGTTCACAGGGATATGGAAAGAACCACAGAGAGCCATTGATTTTGGGGATGTGCAGAATAAGGAATGTTGTTTTGGTGTGGTTGGTGGTTGGGGATCTTGGTGCCGGTGGCTGGGGGCGGTCACTGCTCCACCACCAGAGGCTGAAAGCATGCCTTATCTTCTGTGAAAATGTAGCTGTTCCTGAAAGGGTGACGCCTTAGTCCTTGGAGGTGACCTTGAATTTGTGAACCAGACTGGCTGAGTTAATGCAGTAAACGCGGGGGACGTGGGAGGTGCCTGAGGTCTCAGTGGGCAGCTTACTGGTGGCAGGGTGGCGGTCGTGAAGCGAAGAGGGGGGCCGGGAGGGACAAAGGACAGCAGCCTCGAGGGGCCCTGCCCGCCCAGCCGCCCCAGCGTCAGATGGCACGTGGCTGTCTCCCTAGAGGGAGATGCCACCCAGGGGCTAGGGGATGAGGTTTTTGCTGCCCAGGGGGATGCAGGGGGACCTGGATTTTGCAGCCTCCTTTGGGCCCGAAAGAGAAGGCATTATTTAGTTAGGAAGATGGTCTGCAGGTCAAGGGCTGCCTGGCTGCAAGAACAGCTGGGAGGTAAATGGAACGATAAATCGCGCTCTTCCCCAGAAATACAGTGATTTACGCTCCGCATGGTGTCATTCTCCGAGTGCGGACGTGGGGGAAAGGACCGTAGACTCTAAACGTTTGAAACGAGAAGAGCTGCGATTTTGTAGGTCATTTAAGAATGGGGGTGGGTCCTGAATGCCCAGGATGGGCCCTGCTCCCACAGAGGGTCCTGCCACCCTCTCCACCTCGGTGGAAGGGGCTCGCGTGAGGCTGGAACTTGAGGGGTCTCGGTTTTCTGGCCTCCTTTGGCAAAAGGGCAAAAAGGGCAAATACCCTACAGTTGGGAAGATTGTGGGCTGATGTGCGAGTCATTGTCTCTCACACGGAGCCATGTGTTCAGGGGGGCCAGGGCTCCGTGCGTGTTGGAGTTGGGGTGCAGACCTGTCCCTGCTGAACCCCGCAGTCCACACAGGTGTTTGCTGAACACTGGGTATTAATTCAGCCCAGAAAAATGATGTGTCTGGGATTTTGCAAACTTGCCAGAAACAAGTCACTCATTTTAGAAAGCTCTGGAGCGTGGAATGTGCAGGAGCCTTGAGAGTTTCTGTTTTCTTTCCCTCCTGTGCCCCTAGCATCACCATCCTTGGAACAGGTGCCAAGTGGCTGGCCGTCCTTGAAGAGAAAAACATGAAGCCAGGTCAGTACGCCCCTCAGGACGCTTGGCCTATGCCCCGTCTTGCCAGCCAAGGAATCCAGAGCCGCTCTCTTACCTGTCTCCTGCTCGCAAGCCAGAACAGAGGTGTCGGATTTAGTTTTAATCTTTCTGTGATTCTTCGCCCTAGTGGAAACCCACAGTCTCCAGACACTTCATACGATCCTGTCCACCGGCTCCCCTCTGAAAGTCCAAAGCTATGACTACGTCTACAGGTGCATCAAGAGCAGTGTCCTCCTGGGCTCCATCTCAGGTAGGGCTTGCACCGCGGAGAGGGGGTTCGGGAGGAAGCGGGGGAAGTGGGGCACGCCCAGGCTGGCCCCCCCGAAGTGTGCACAGCCTCTGACCTGCCAGGTCCACTGTCTTGAATTCGTCCCAGGTAAACATCAGGACGCACATCTCTGCACGGTTGGCTCTTCTCGTTCATGATAGTTAAGTTCTAGAAAGTGGCTGAGTTAGTGACTGCTGAACCATCGCTCCTGGGGGAGGTACACACACACACACACACACACACAAACACGCACACACACGTATCTCATCTTACATTCTGGAAACAACCTTATATTATAATCTTATATTCTGAAAACAACCTTTTCTGGTAGATTCTGTTCTCTTCACCTTACAGAAGAGAAAACAAGGTTCAGAAGTGTTAACTGACTCGCCGGAGCAGCCCCCCAACAGGGTGCAGTGCGGCCGGCCCCCGGGCCAGAGCTTCTTGCGCCCCCTGCCCCTCCCCTCGCTGTCCCCCGGTCTTCTCTCAGCGAGAGCTGAAACCAGAGCACGGCACTGTCTTGTTGCCCCGCATCTGGGGACGTGCGTGGGGGGCATCTCGAGATTTCCACCACTCAGCTCATGTTCTCAGATGACCTTGAAAGCACCCCGAGTGTTGATCCTGAGGTCATACATTTTAGCGAGTAGGAGAATTTGCACATACAGAATCTGTAAGTAATAAGGATTGGCCAGGGATGAGAACAATTGTTGCAAAATCGTTTAAGGTCGTTAAAAGCTGGAAATTACCTATATGCCTGGTAGAAGGGGATTCATTGACTAATTTTTGGTGCATCCTTAATTTTTGCGGCTGTTAGGAGGGATACGATGAAAATTCTTATTTAGATGGAAACATATTTATTGATACCGAAAGAGAGTTGTGATACGTTGAGTGAGAGAAGCAGATTGCAGACTACAAGTGTGGTCATTTTTGTAGATCGAGAAAAGGAATATGTGGGGGGGGGTGTACACCCGTGTGTGTGTATATGGGCGTTGGGATTTCAAGTGACGTTTTTTTCTCTTCACTGTTTTCCCCAACGTGAAGTTGTATGAAGACAATTTGTGCATGTTGCAAAGTATTCAGAATCCAAAAAGGAGATAGAGTGGTGTCCACCCCACCGCCCGGCCCGTCCTCCTTCCCCAAGGAAGCTTGTGGTTGTTTCCTGCCGGAGGCATCTGTACGTAGGTGGGGGAACGTGTGTCGATGGGGTGAGACCCGTTTAACTTAGGGTTCATGCTGTTCCATGTTTCCCCTTAACAGAGTGACTTGGAGTTAATTCTGTCGTAGCTCATCAGAATCTTTAGATGACTTTATTTTTCTGAAAACATGTCTTTAAAAGATGCCATGTGATGTGCTTGAAGCCTGAGCCTGCCCTGCCAGCCCTCCGCCTTCCAGCTGGACCCGTGGCCCGAGGCTGGGGGTCTCGAGCTGGGCAGGGAGGGCTGGGGTCCCGCCAGCATCTGAGAGTGGCCTTGGGACATCCCCTTTCCTTCTGAGCCTCAGTTTGCCTGCCTTAAAAGGGATGGATTGTACCATGTGGCCTCCAGGGGCCTTTCCATATGAACGCTGCCCGTCGAGTGGGCGGTCGTGCCGGGGCTCTGGCCATTTATTTAGCAGGGTCATGGGCCTCGTGACAGGTGACATCTATCAATGTTTGCTGCCTGTGTATCACTCTGTGGAATGCTGTGGATCCTGGAAACATGATAGCTCTCCTGTCCTGACACAAAACACTCTTCAAGATACTCCGGGGGGAAAAGCAGAATAGGGTGGATGAGGTGCTCTGTGTGCATGAGAAGTTGTCTGTGGAGAGGGTCTCCGGCTAGGTGGCAGGGAGGCTCACATCCACTCCTCACCCTCCCAGAGTTCTGGGTCTTGTCTCAAGCGAGAGCCAGACGCATTGCCTGTCCAGAATGCCGGTTTGCAGAAGCTTCGGGAAGTAGTCTGAGTGGTACCGCTGGCTGATCCGGTGCTGTCGGACCCTCAGCCCTGGGCTGGTGCTGTGCACGTCCCACCGTCTTCCGGAGAGCATCCTAAGCCTCGGGGGGCAGCGCTTACACCTCCCCGGGGCCTGGAGCCCTGGTCAGTCCTTGCCAGCCAGTGAGATAAGCGTGGTTCTCATTTTCATGGGGCACACCTGCCATGGCCCGAGGTGTCAGGAGAAGGCAGAGGGGACATCGCACTTCCAGCCTCCGTCCGAGGGAAGAAGTACAATCAGCTTAGAGTCGAGGCCAGGATGAAAGCCTGCTGGTTGCTGGAAGCATCCAGACGTCTTACGTGGCTCTTGAGCACCCTCCGCCCTGGGTTGTGCGTGCTGGGCACGGTGAAGGAGGGACTGCTGCTTCAGTTACGGGGGCATATTCCCCGGCACACAGACACACACGTGCACACACACGCACACACGCACACGTGCGCAGAGGAGTTGCTGGGGTCAGGAAGCTGGCTCTGTGTGCGCCTCCCGCTCACGTCCCCCTCGGGGTCCCTTCCCGCCCCGAGTGCCCAAGCGAGGGGACAGTCGTCGGCAGCAGTGGGTCTAGCTTTGGGGGCTCCTGTTGTTCCTCTCGGTGCCTCTCCGGATCTGATTCCCTTTCGAGCTCCTTCCCGGCATTGGTGTGCTTCCTACCTGAGACCCAGCCTGCATGGAGCCCAGGGGTGCGGCTCGTCTGGCCACAGCAGAGGGCCTCTGTGTGACCCGTCTGCCGAGGCAGTTCCTGTGGGGTAGAGCTTATGGGCGAAGCTTCCATTTTCTGTGAGCCCGAGTCTCGAATTTCATTGTGACCACGAGAGGTCATTTATTTTGTCTCTCATCCAGCAGGAAGACTCGGTCAAAAAATAAATCACCCAGACATGGGCGGTTTGCTGCAATTCCTAAATCACCTTCCCCATTTCTCCCTGAAAAGAAGCGCTAACCATCTGTGGATTTTTCAGTCTTTACCTGGAGAAAGAGTAGTGATACCTGTGTTTTGGGGTCTCCCTCCTTTGGTGTTCACAGTAGAAAACCAGGCTGTTTGTCTGTCTTCTGAATTTTGGATCTCCTGTTCCTTTGTTTGCAGGTGGCACTGACATCATCTCCTGCTTCATGGGCCAGAATTTTTCTATTCCTGTGTATAAAGGGGAGATTCAGGCCCGGAACCTGGGCATGGCCGTGGAAGCGTGGAACGAGGAAGGTGATGGCTTCACTAACCATCTTTCTTTCTGTTTCTGGGCGTGGCTGGTAGCTCGGAAGCACTCAGATGTGTAACTGCCCCAAGAGAGAGACGGCCCAGCTCACTTCTAGCCACCCACCGGGCTCCCGTCCCTAGCCCCCTTGGGCCTGCCCGCCTCAGCAGTCAGTGTCGGGCGGGAGCACAGTGGAGAGCTGTGTTCAGGAACTACAGGGGGGCCGTTGTTCTCCCGGCATCCAAACCCCAGAGACACTGCTCAGGCAGCCCGCTGCCCTGCTGGTCTGACACCTTGACCCGGACCCAGTGAGGGAGCCGGAGGTTGGCCCCTCTGACAGTCTCAGGGCGAGCTTTTGCTTTGTAGCCTCTTAGTGGCTATTGGTAAATCAGCAAAGCCTGTTGGTATCTCCAGCACCTAACAGGGCCTGGCCTGGCATGTGGTGTGTGCACTGTACAAATTTGCCCTGCAGCCACTGTTATTTTAACCGGGCAGAGTGAATGGGGAGTTTGTGTGAGGAAGAGGGAGAGACGTCAGCCCTGGTGGTTCCACCAGGTCAGGGGCTGGAAGCCTGGATAGCACAGGAAGGATCTCTCCTTCCAGTTCACCGAAAATGTTGCCAGAGACCTTTCTGAAAATCAGTTCTTACTTTCAGAAGAGGACTTTTCCCTGGTGCTCACAAAAGTTCTCGGCCCCATATATCTGTTTTCTTCCCCACCGCCTGAACCATTTCTCTTGGTCTCCGTCACTGCTACATTCTGTGGCCTGGTCGGGGGGAGATGCTCCTGGCAGAGAGAAACCAACGGCCGTCTCTTCAGCTTCCAGATGTCTGTCTGTCCTCTATCTCGGGGGTTCTGTGGGGTGGGATGAGCTGGGCCAGGTGAAGGAAATGTGGAAACTCTGGAGCCTCCCGGGACGCACGGTGGGATGGTGACTTCTCAGTGCGAGTCCCGCGGTGCTGTGCTGTGGAAGGTGCTGGATAAACGGGCCCACTCACTGGGAGGGATGCTGTGCTGCCCTCTCTCCTCGGCCTCCCTGGCCTGTGCTGTGCCCGGGGCTGGAGACCGGGCGCCCTTTGGAGCAAGTGGGACTCGGTGCAACTCCCTTAGCCTGCAAGTCGGGAGTAGTGAGTGAAGGTGAAGATAGGCAGGGACGCGGTGGTGCAGGAATTCCACCCCTGGGAGAAGTACTTGCCCATACGAGCAAGGGGAGGCGTGCATGTGTGTTCCTGACAGCACGTGTACAGTAGGAAACAGAGTTGGGAACAGTAGAGCTTCCCCTTCAGGAGGAGTAAATGGCCACAATCGCACGTGAAGAATTATAAGCAGTGAAAACAGATGAACCGGAGTGCAGTGTGTAGCTGCTGAGCGAATCACCCCGACCCCACGCTGGGAGAGCAAGGCAGGGTGCTGGACGCACGCAGCGCGATGCCGTCTGCGCAGTTTGGAAACACGCGGGATGACTGTGTTGCTCAGAGACACGTGTCGATGGAGTGAGCGTATTAAGACACGTGTGGGAGAAATAAATTCCCTTTAGAAGAGGGGTTTGGGAAGTCGGGTGGGAAGGTCACCGGGGGTCAGTCCCAAGGAGGGTGTGCGAGCGACGGAGAGCGTGAGTATGCGCACGGTGTGTGGCTGCTGTGTGTGCTCGCGTTAGTTTTTCATTCTTCCCGAACCAGGAAAGGCAGTCTGGGGAGAGAGTGGTGAGCTGGTGTGCACCAAGCCGATCCCCTGCCAGCCCACGTGCTTCTGGAACGATGAGAACGGGAGCAAGTATAGGAAGGCCTATTTCTCCAGATTCCCAGGTAGGTCGGTTGGTCGGGGATGCAGACAGAGCTGCCCAGACTCCGCTGGGGCTGGGCCTTTGGGGTCTGGTTCTGGACGCAACACCCCCCCCGCCCCGCTCACAGCTCCTTCCGCCAGTGGGGCGAGAATGAATGTCTCGGATCAGTATCTTGTCACATTCAGCTTGAAGCCATCATGTGAAACTGGAGTCTGGGTTAGTTTCTTCCTTTTTTTAAAGATTTTATTTATTTTTTTGAGAGAGAAAGAGAGCGCATGAGTGGGGGTGGGGAGGGGCAGAGGGAGAGGGAGAAGGAGAGAGAATCTCAAGCACACTCCCTGCTGAGTGTGCAGCCCAATGCAGGAGATCTCAGGACCCTGAGAACACGACCTGAGCAAAACCGAGAGTCAGACGCTCAACCGGCTGAGCCACCCGGGCCCCCGTGGGGCGGTTTATGCTTAACTAGCCTCTGTGCGCAGAGCCCCCGGGCCCCATGTGCGGCGGTTTGCCCGCGGGAGGGCTGCGGGCCGCACACCCACCCAGGATTGTGCCTGCCAGTTCAGAGAGAAACGGCGTGTTCAGGAGGAATCTGGCTTGGGACTCTTCCTCTCTGCCCCGCGCGCACCCTCACCCAGTCCTCGCGGGAGTATTGGAGGAGGAGTGCTTTGGCGGTGGGATGATTTACAACCCGCCTGTCACTCTCACACAGACTGACATGCTCGCGTTTCATCTTCCGAGTGGCGCCTTGCCCCAGAGCAGGGAAGGGTTTTATTTAAAGCTCTGACTCCTGTCTCCCTCTTACCTTCGTTCGTCAGCAAGCTCGAGCTGGTGCAGCCCTACCAGTCACAGTGTAGCAAGCCCTCTGTCCCAGAGCGGTTTTTGCCAAGTGCTTGCTTGCTTCAGTCTCTAGAAAGGTAATTTGATTTTGCGTTGACCGCATGTGGAGGATCAGAGAAGGGCAGGTGGCCGTCGGGGGCAGAATTTGCCGTGGACCCCTCCCGTTTCTCCGCCTGGCTTTGCACGCTTGCACGTCCCACGTAAAAACCACCAAATCTGGCATCGCGCCCCCACGTGGGCGTCGGAGGGGGACCCCAGATGTGGCTTGGTCTCCACTGGGTACCTGCTCACTTGAGCCCCACCTGGGATCCTGCCAGCATGCAGCTGCCCAGACGGCGTGAGGCGGGATAGTGGGAGCTTAGAGAGAGAGAGGAGTGTTCCTCAGATGACCCTGAAGGACAGGGCGGGGGCCCCTGTCTTAGGAAGAGAGTAGAACCTCAGCTGGAGGATTCATCTAAGAAATCCATCTCTTGTCTTCTGCAGTACTGCTCACTGGTCTTTGGAAACTGTCTTTCCTATAACTTGTTATGTATACAGGTTAACATGATAAATGTCTCAGGATTGATTTCAGAGTCTTTCTTTTTTTTTGAACTTCTGGTATTCTCTCTTGGAGAAAACAAATATTTTGTGACCTGTTATATTTCCAATTTTCCTTGGCTGCCAGGAAGCTCAGCGTTGAAATCATTGCTTGGTTGTAGCAGTCCTCTACCCCCAGGGCAGGGTTTCTGATTCTCTTTAAAGAATCTCATCCTGTAGTCGGTTTTATAAGTAGTTTCCTCAGATACTTTCTGGGAGTAGGGGGAGATATATGAGCCAGTACAGAAAGAGGAAAGCAGTTAAGATAATGGGACTCTGAGGCTGTTGGTCGTGGATGGGAGGAACACGGGTAGAACCTGACTGTCCATGCCCCAGCACTGGGACGTTCTGACACTGTACTGGAATTGGTGATTAAAGGAAACAGCTGGAGGCCAAGGCTGTCGTTTCTGTAGCAGGAAGCAAACTCACAGACATCGACATCATTAGGCCAGGTGAAAATGTAAGCAGGCAGGGATATCCAAGAAATCAGTAAGCGAAAAGAAGAAGTTCAACACAGAGGGAACAGTATCTCTTTTGTGTCAACTTTTAAAAGGAAATGTGTGTGTGTAAGTCTGTGAATAAATGCACAACAAAGGGTTATCGGAGTGGGGGAATTATGAGCTGTCTTGCTTTTCTTTATATATTATCACTTTTAAAAACCTAGTAAAAATTTAAAGAGAAATTAGAAGCAGACTGAAGAAAGATTTAGACCATTCTGATTCTACAAAGCAATGATTTCAGCTCTGAGTTTCCTGGCAGCCAAGGCAAAAAGGGAAATAAAATGGGTCCAGGTAAGTGCAAGACACAGTCTGCTCGGGAGGCCAAGCCAGCCCACCAACTGTCAAGACTTTGAGCTTGATGGCATGGAGACAGCCAAAGTTCCCCTCAGCCCACACCAGCAGAAGAGTTCAAAGCGGGAGGAGGCCCCGAGTCGTAACTGCCGGAGTCCTAGGTCCTACCATAAGAGAAGCATGTGCAGTTTATTCACAATGGCGCATCTACAGACGTGGAAAGTCATGCCATCGTTCTCTCATGCACAAAAACACATGCTCACCATAGACGATTTCCTCCAGGAGGAAAGCCAGAGCAAGGCTGGGTCTCCCCCGTCGCACTGGCGTGCTGTCGCTGAAAGGGGGTGGAGGGAGTCGGTGTGGTGAGCACGGCTGGAACCATTGGCTGGGGGCACGGAAGCCCGCAGGGAAGCTGCATTTCTCTGCGGCGACCACCTGGCAGCAGAGTCACCCGCCCCGTGTGAATTCTTCCTCCCGACTCTGGATCGTACAAGGTGGAGGTGCTTCATTCACAAATGACAGTTCCTTCAGGGTGCATTTGCGTCTTCCGTTTTGTCTCCATTTCCAGGGCCTTGCGTTCATGGTCAAACTCCTGGGAGAGCTGGCTCTGCACAGCCCAGACTGTGTGGGGGGCGGGCGCCTGGGCCCTGGATGGGAAAGGACTGGGGGGCAGGCGGGCGGGGCGCGCCCTGCGGCTGTGTCTGCAGCCCCGTCTCCCCCCGACGGCATCTGTAAGCCCGGTGTTCGGAGTAGCCGTCAGATGCGCTTCTGCAGAAACTTGGCGTGTTGCTTGCAGTCCTAGGAATGATCTTTTCCCCGTTTGTGTACGTGAGTCTTTCTCAAGTCCCAGCAGGAGGAAGGGGTTTCTGTCTTTGGCGTGGGGAGGAGGGGAGAAGGACCTGGAGGCGCACAGCCCTCTTTTGCACCAGAAGAAATGAGCTCAGGAGGCCCTTCGTCCCCAAATTGCCTCCCAAGGACCACACTGCCTGCAGATGGACAGATGGCCTGGCCTTCATCTGGGCAGGAGCCTCAGTCGCTGCTCGTGCAGTCTTGCCACAACGGTGAATGAGCAAGGGGATAAAGGCAGTATGTGGTCACGGGTGGCGTCTCCTGGACAGGTGCAAGTGGACGGGGTTTGCACCTCCAGCCAGGAAGTGTTTCCAGGGTTGCAGGGGAGGAGGTGCTCTCAGATGCCCTTTCTGGGCCGCAGGGACTCAGGGCTCATTTCAGGAGGCCAGGCTGCCCCTGGGGAAATGACTTCCAGGTGGCCGAGAGCCGGGGGGATGTGCTCTCTGTCATTCACACCCCTTTGGCCTCCGTTCATGCAGCTGATCAAGGGTCACTGCCTTTGGGGGCAGGAGGAAGCTTCTGGCTGGTTTAATTGCTCCCTTGGCAATTCCCTTGGGGTGTGACGTCTCTTTCCTGTTCCGTGGGGGTGGAGGATGTGGCCAAGGCTGGGGCTTTGATCCCTGGGGATATTAGCTTTGCTGTATGCCAAGACGAGGGCCTCCCCGGGAATGTCGCCAGCCCAGGCCCCAGCTGCACACCGGGCCACACGGGGATGGCGCAGGTGATTCGTTTCAGGGTCACCTCTGATCCCTGCCCCCCCCCGCCCATTCCCCTGCCTTCCTTGTCCCCTGGGTTTTACCAGCCAGTTAGCTCTGTGCACGTGGCTCGTGCCTTAGCTCGGGCCTCCGTCAGTAGCCTCCCACTGGTCGTGCTCCTGCTATTATCCCACTCCAAGAGGGGCCCAGCCCCACCAAACCAGCCCCCTCCGCTGTCCCAGACCACCCTGTCCTCCTAAAGCGTGCCTTGTGGCGGCTACCCTTCACTCAGAGGGCCTGCTCCCAAATCTCCCATTGACCTTCCCTGGCCGCCCCTCGCACCCTCCCTGCTGGGGCTGGTCCCAACCCCGTGAATTCGTGAGGCCCTTGTTGGCGCCTGAAGGAGTGGTGTTCTCTCGCATGCTGGTGCGTGTCAGAACTGGGCGCACAGGGGCCCCTGCTAGACGCTGTGCTCCGGGGGCAGGAATGGTCTGGTCCACTTCTACCCCTGGGCCCCAGCCCCATTCCATACCTGTTTCTGTGCCCCAGCCGTGTCTGTTGACGAGCATCCTGTTGCTGTCCGGCCTGCCATGAGCGTCTGTCCAGGCAGCTGGTCAGGACCCCTTCTCCTCGGGGTGACTGAGCACCTCTGCCTCCCTGCAGGTGTCTGGGCGCATGGCGACTACTGCAGAATCAACCCCAAGACTGGGGGCATCATCATGCTGGGCCGGAGGTGAGGGTCTTTAGAGGGCTTCTCTTCCCTGGAGCCCCCTTTCCCGAGGCATCCAGGCAGGGGCAGGAGGCATCCCGCATCAGCTCCCCGAAGGCCAGGTCTGGGCCTGACCACATTTCTGTGCCCAGAGTGGGGTGGCAGGCTGTGGCAAAGGTGTGTCCGTCCACGGTAGCAACGGCCCTTCCAGAACTGGGAGCGTGTGGGTGTTGGGCGCACAGCATGTCTGCACAGGTGGGAAGGGGCAGGGGGGTGACAGGTGTTTCCACACAGAGGGGACTGCCTTGTTGTCTGGCTTGGAGTTAGAGAGAGAAGGTGACCGGCGGGCATAAGGAGCAGGGGAGGGAGCCTTCGTGACTGGGCCCAGTGTTGCTGTGTGGGAAGGGGGTAACTGCCGCCGCCCCCTGGGTGACGTGCCTCACTCAGGAGCCGCTGTGTGTCCGTGACCTTGTCTCTTTCCAGCGACGGCACACTCAACCCCAACGGAGTGCGATTCGGCAGTTCGGAAATCTATAACATTGGTACGTATTTTCCCTTTCTCCTCGAATTATTCTCAAGTCATCCAGGAAGGAAGGAGGGTGTGTCCTAGAGGGAGCCCCAGAGCCTGCTTTCCAAAGAGCCCGCCTTTTGGCATAACTCTGGCCCATTTGCCTCAGAGGCTGTGAGAGCATGTCCTTCTTTCTGGAATGTACCTTATCCACATTGCTTGTAGCCGTAAAGCCTTAGAGGCCCATCCCTGTTCCATTACATTTTATCTTCACAGTGAGCAACCTTCGGTTGCTTAATTGTGTCTCGTCCTTTTGGGTGAAGAAGAAGCACAGAGAGGTTGTGTGATTGCTGGAGGTCACACAGCACCATTCGGGACACCACATACAGACAGTGGGCCTCACAGCTGCACAATAGAGTCATCCGTGGACCTTTAAAATGCCCCACCCAGGCCCCAAAGTCAGCCTCCCTAGGAGGTGGCTTCCTACAGATGTCATGTCAAGGTTGTTTGTGTAGCCAGGATGGAGAAGTCCTGATCCATCTGCCTCCAGCCTTTGTTCCTCCCACCAATGGAGTCCCCACCACTGGTACTTGCTGCCTTTTTATTTTTAAATTAATTTATAATTAAGCAAGTAAGGCCTGTGTTTGGCTTCTTACAAACATGTCGACCACTGCAGCTCAAGCTAAAGCTCTGACCCTTGCCAGTGATGGGCGTTCTTCTGCTTGTTCGCCCTGAGGGGCTCTTCCCAGGAGGGTGGAGGAGAGGCGGCGGTCCCCATCAGGCTCGGGTGGCCGGCCTCCCCCTCCCTCCTCACTGGCCATGGTGGGCGGGTGCGAGACTGTGGCCCCTTCCCGTCTCTGCAGTGGAGGCCTTCGAGGAGGTGATGGACAGCCTCTGTGTCCCCCAGTACAACAAGGACGGGGAGGAGAGGGTGCTCCTCTTCCTGAAGATGGCTTCCGGCCACACCTTCGGGCCTGAACTGGTGAAGAGCATCCGCAGCGCCATCCGCGTTGGCCTGTCTGCTCGGCACGTGCCCAGCCTCATCCTGGAGACCAAGGGCATCCCGGTAGGTCGGCCGCCGGGCTCGGGCTCCTGTCCCCGGGCAGCGGCAACCAGAGCATCCTCATCCCCCGCCGAGAGCCCCCACACGCAGAGACTCATCTAGAAGCTTGTTCTGCTTTATATATAGTTTGTTTGCGTTCCTGGCAACCCCATCTTTTTTCCCCCCAACATCTCTCTTTTTTTGTTAACCCTTCCTGAATTGCGTGTAAAGTAACTTCTGCTAAATACCTGTGTTCGGAGGCTAGGCAGTCCCAGCCCTGCGCATCCAACGGGCTTTTCCCCGGTGTGGTTTTAGTGTGTTCTTAAAATTATTAATGAGAAAATTAATTTTAACTTTTTAAAGAGCCGCTGGGGTGCTGTTGCTCTTGCCTTTTAAAAGTTTTGCCCGTGGAAAGAAGAGTTGAATCTGTTTAGCGGCATGTCTCCAGAAAGCTGCTCCCCCTTCTACTTTGTTTAGGTTCTGAGTGGGGGAGGAGGGGCACCCAGATTGGATCTCAGCTTTAACTTGGCTGCTCACAAGGCGAATGTCAGCTGAGAAGAGGCTGCCGTGTGCACGCGGTGTGCACAGACCAGCCAGGCTGTACGGAAGTCTGCAGAACAGCGATTCTCTGATGGGGACACGGTGCAGAGCCTGCTGACTGGGCCCCACGGGAGCACAGCTCTGATGGTGCCCCGAGCAGGGCCGGGACTTCTCCTGTCCACCCGCTTCTTTTAAATTTTGGTTATGCACAGGAAGTGTCTCAAGCTTGGGAGTTCTCTCTGTCTCGGTTGCTGACTCCTGGTGACTCTGGGGACCATGGCTCTCGCAGGGAGGGAAGGCGCTTCTTGAGTCCGTGATACTTACTGCCTTCTGATGAGGGCCTAAGGCTTTCCTTCAGTAAACCAGTTCTGTCTGCTTCTGGAACATTCTGGAGCACGAGAGTTTGATTTTCCCCTTGGCTTTCTTTTGTTGAAACAGGACGTGTGTCCTTTGCTGCTGGAAGGGTTATTCCCCAACTGTGTGTGCTCATGAGATTAGTGGCACGGTTTATCCGAGAGATACAGGAAATGGTGGCCCGTCTTTCTGTCCTCAGCGTGGCGCTCGGGTTGCTGTCAGCCCCTGCTCTCCGCAGGTGCTGTCTCCGCTGTCTGGTTGGGTTGGGAAGTCACTCCAGGGTTCCCTGAGATTTTTCAAGGCCCTTGTGTTTTCAGATCCTCCTGATCTGAACTAATGGATTTGGGGTGGCCCCGTGTGTCGTGCGCTGGGGAGGGGGTGGCCCGGCCAAGGAGACTTGGGGCACTTCGGGAATTGCGAGGCCGACAGGCCCCAGGCAGCCACGACTGCCCTGACTCCCGCACATCTTTGTCCCTGCTCACAGTTGAGATGCCTGGCCCATCCCAGCGGGAGGCAGCATGACGCGTATGCCCCAGGGAGGCCCAAGCAGCGGCCGGTGGGCGTGGGGGTCTCTGCCTCCCCACCACCCTCCCCACCAGAGGAAGCAGTAGCAGGATTTCTTCTGAAACACGGTCTTCTTTCTTCAGCTGATGGAAGATATAAATTATTAGCTCCCCTGAGCCGTTCTTGGAGCTTTTGTGTAAAGCCCATACAGCGCGTGAGACTCTTGCATTTTGGGGCGAGAGGGGCCAACACCCAAGTGACAGGCAGTCCCTCAGAAGCTAGCGCTTAGATCCTTAATTAGTTCACAGTTCACCTGAGTTTTTCAAATGAATGAATTTTAATTACATCTCAGGTTAAAAAAAAAAAATAGTGCCCAAGGAGGAGAGATCAGGGCACCGCCGTTTTACTGAAGGGCTCTGTCCTCGAGTCCCCTGGCCCCCGGACACCCGGCACTGCTACCAGAAGCATGGGGATCAAAGGCGGAACATGCAGGCCACAGATTTTAGGGGGAGCTTTGAACGTTTGGAAGGAGTCTGGCTGTGAGGAAAGTAATACCCCATCCCGACCCGACGAACGGTTCTGAGGGAAGATTAGGGGGAAGCTTGGTGAGGCTCGTGGACGAGGCTCGCTGGCCAGTTGATGGTGACGAGGTGGCGGGAAGCCAGCCTGCTGCTGACATGATGCTGATGGCCCAATTTTATGATACAGAGAAGGGTAATGAAGTCAATGTAACTGATGAAATAGAAACACAGTCTGACAGTGAGGCACTTGCCAGAGCTGTCAGGGTCTGAGCCCCCTGGACTCCTGTCCTCCCGGCAGGGAGAGGCGCTGGGCCCCCCTTCATGCTCGAGGAGGCCAACTGGGCTTCGGGAATCAGCCCACAGTCCCCCAGATGCGGTGGCCCAAGTGCCACGTGCTCACTGGGTGGAAGGCCCCCTCCCCGGCGCACCTGCGTGGCGGGCTCCAGGCCGAGGTCATTCGGTCCGCGGTTTGGTCCTTCGGTCCATGGTTTGTATGTTCGGTCCGCGGGTCTGTGGTTTGCACGTTTGGTCCATGGTTTGGTCGTTCAGTTCACAGTTTGGTCGTTTGGTCTGCGGTTTGGTCATTCGGTCTGCAGTTTGCACGGTCGGTCCGCGGTTTGCATGTTCAGGCCATGGGTTCGCGGTTTGGACGTTCCGTCCGTGGTTTGCATGTTCGGTCTGCAGTTTGCACATTCGGTCCGCGGTTTGGTCGTTCGGTACACGGTTTGCACGTTCCGTCTGCGGTTTGGTCCTTTGGTCCGTGGTTTGGTCGTTCGGTAGACAGTTTGCACGTTCCTTCTGCGGTTTGCACGTTCCGTCTGCGGTTTGGTCGTTCGGTCCGCAGTTTGCAGTTCAGTCCACGGTTTGGTCGTTCGGTACACGGTTTGCATGTTCCGTCTGCGGTTTGCACGTTCGATCCGCGGTTTGGTCCTTCAGTCCGCGGTTTGCACGTTCCGTCTGTGGTTTGGTCCTTCGGTCCGCGGTTTGCACGGTCGGTCCGCGGTTTGCATGTTCGGTCCACGGGTTCGTGGTTTGGATGTTCCATCCGTGGTTTGCACGTTCCGTCTGCGTTTGCACATTCGGTCCGC